TCCTGCCCTGAATTTCATAGTATCCTGTATTTTGCATCGAAAATTCCTCAATTTTTTATAGCTTTACTACATGTATATATCTCTTAACAGCAAAATGATCAGTTTGCCTACTGTTTAACTTTGTGCAAATGCAATTGACACTTGTTATTTTTGCTCTGCATTCTGTTTTATGCTGACAGCTGTGATTAACTCATTTTCCCCAATATATGGTATTCCATACAAATTTGTACAACCTCCAGAAGACATCGGTACATTACTATCTATAAGAAAGGTGCTAACAAGGTGAATAGTGCCCCAGAGTTAAGCAAGGTGATGACCCTGATTCCACTGTATGAATACAACATGACTTACTCATTTAAATAATTCAGCATTTTTCCTAGGGGGTTTTTCAACATTTTTTTCTTGCTCTGAGCTACAATATTGCTATGAGCATTATTTTATGTTTCTTGAGTTTCATTTCTCTAGCAGCAAGCTGAGAGTAGGGTATCTGGTTGTAGCATATAAAAATGCTTGCAATAGTGAATTGTGCTTCTCCTCCTAACCTGCCTTTTTGTTAAAGAGTCTCAGTGAAAACCTAAGATGGGTAGAAGTCAAGTTTTCTTGCCCTCCGAAAGCATAAGATGGACTGGACTTCCATTGCTGGCTTGCAAAATGGAAGAAGGAGAAAGAACCCAGTGACTGCTAACAAGGAAATAGTAATTTGGTATTTGCAACCACACGGAGCTCAGTGCTGCCGGTAACCTGAATGTCCCCGAAATGTATTCTCCCTCAGAGCCCCTCAAAGGTGACAGGCAGCCCTGCTGGTGCTCTGACTTTGACCTTGTAAGACTGGTCAGAGCCAAGTCTACTGACCTACTGAACCATGAACCACGAGACAACAAATCCACATCGCTTAAGCCTCTGAGTCACTGGTAACCCAACAAGACAGCAAGAGGAAACCAAGAGAGTAGGTGAGTTTTGCTTGTGATAATTTTATTGGTCCAGATCCTTTTAAATAACTGGATTGATGTTATTTTCTGTTGATTTTTTTCTAGTTGTGTTTATCTTTGACTAATGGAAGGAAGCCGTGAAGTAAGACCTGTCACTGCTTGATTAATGCCAAAACAGGTTGATAGAAAACAGACACTTGATGCTCTTCTAAGCTTCATATTATTACTTCCTCTGGTTTATCCGTAGGGTTTCACAAAGATCTAGGATGTCAGTCCATCCTAGTTCCTTTGTCCTTGTTGTTCATTCTAGGATAACTAAGTGATAAAAGGGTCAATCCAAGACAACAGTTGCTGGGTGGAGGGGTGGGGATTCACCTCAAGTTCTGTGGGGAAAGAGAAGGAAGCGAACACTCCAAGAAATAGCAAAGCCAGAAATGGAGAGTGAGCCTAAAGACACTTGAGTCTACATTCCTAGTTATTCATCAGGTACATTTTTAAGCTTGAGATGAGATGATAAACTATTTTCGTAAGTTCTACAGAAATGTGTTTCTACCATTTGCAAAAGAAAAGCATCATGCCGAATATTAGTTTCTTCGTGGTGCTGTGACAAGTTATTGCAAACTGAGGGATATAAAACATGAATTCATGATGTGAGAGCTCTGTCGGTCAGTCATCACGCTAGAATCCGGGAGCCTGCGGGGCTATGCTCCTCTCTGGAGGCTCTAGGGCAGAATCCATTTCCTTGCCTTCTTCAGCTTCTCCATCCACATTCCTTGGCTCAGGCCCCTTTCCTCCATCTTCCAAAAACAACAACATTGCTCTGCCCTTCCTCCATGGTCACACCTCCCTCTGATCTCTAATGTCTACTTGAATTTGCTTTCTTTCATTAATGATATTGAGCATCTTTTCATAGGTTTCTTGCCTTCCTTTATTCTCTTCTTCGTGAAGTAGCTCAAGCCTTCACACTTTTTTCCGTTGGCTTGCCATTTTCTTACTGAATTCTTTCATGAAAACATTTTATTTTTTGGATATTTGTCTTTTAATGGCTAAACATGTTAAGCTATCATCTCCTGGTTTGAACCTTTATTTTTCTAATTGTTATTGTGTATTTTAAATGTATTTTAGTGTAGTTGATTTTGTCAATTGTTTGCCTTGTTTTGCTTTTTATATATTGTTGAAGATATCTTTCCCTTCCCTAAAGTCATAAAATACTCTGCTATATTTTGTTGTAAAACTTATAAAGTTTGGTTTTCATATTTTCATATGTAACCTCTCCTAATTAACTTTGTTTCCTTTTATATAAGGAAGTTGTCCCAGCATACTATATGGAGTTGTCATTTCCCTAATGACTCCAAGCCCAATTCTGTCCCGTTTCCCATTTTCACATATGAATAAGTATGCTTCTGGGCTCTCCTTGGTACTATTAATCTGCTGGTCTGTCCCTCTGTAAACACCACATTATATTATTAAACCTTAATAATAAGCTTCCGTATCAAGTAGAGCAGAATTCCACAACTCCCTTCTTTTTCCTTATAAGTATGCTAGGTATTTCTGGCCTTTTGCTTATTCATAAAAATTTTTTAAATGAATATAATTGTTAAATTTCAGAGAAAACATTACTAGAATTTGGATTAAAATTACATCTCTAGGACAGCTGAGGGAAAACTGATGACTTTTCAGCTCAAGGTCTCTATTCATGTTATGAAATATCTCACTTTCCTTTGGCCATCTTTAATGACTTTCAATAGCATTTTTTAATTTTCAGTACAACAGTCTTGCTCATCTCAAGTTATCATAACTGAGCACATTATATTTTTAATGTAAGATTAACTACACTTTCTAACTATTGCTTTTAAATGCAGGAAAATGCAATTGAGTCTTGTCTAATAATTATAGTTACCAATTACATGCTGGGTACTGCTACACTAGGCATTGTTCCAGCCTCTTTACGTAACCATTAAGTCCTCTCGACAACTCTAGGAAATGGGTCCTGTTATCATAATCACTTTTCATATTAGTTCCTTTGGTGTTATGCCTGGAATGCAGAGTCCCTCCTAGGACTTTTGCAGTTCTGACCCCCATCTGGGCCAGGTTTCAGCTGTACAGAACATTTCTACTTCACTAGAGAACTCCTGATCTACCACCGGCCCAGAGATTTTGAGACCACTGAACTCTGACCTTGACACAGAGGGATCTCCCCCTAACCCCTAGTGTCCTTTACTTGGAAAGCCAAGAGGTCTGAGTAAAGGTTGACAGGTCTTCTTAGCTCGTGGTCATTTTTCAGACTTCAGAGGGCTGATTCTGATGGGTCTCCCATAGCCTGGTACCTGCCCACTGGTTCCTTGGTTTCATGGGTGCTACCTGTGTCAAAATTTATCAAACTGAACATGTTAAGTATGTAGTTTATTCTGTATGAATTATATTGCAACAAAGGTGGGTTTTTTTTTGTTTTTTTTTTAAAGTATGAGGTGGATATGAGATTAAAAGTAAAAGATGCAGACTTTCTAGTCCTGTGGATTCACTTTTGGCCAAGTCTTCTTTGCAAAGTAGGATCCCTGAAATGAATGTGGCCTAACAGAGAACATATTTTAACTTGATGAATTTTAAGTAAAAATGATAATATAGGGGTATCCGGGTGGCTCAGTTGTTAAGCATCTGCCTTTTGGCTCAGGTCATGATCCCAGTCCCGGGACTGAGTCCCACATAGGGCTCCCTGCTCAGCAGGAAGCCTGCTTCTCTTTCTCCCACACCCCCTACTTGTGTTCCCTCTCTCACTGTCTCTAATAAATAAAATCTTTAAAAAAATAACAAAAAGAACTAGAATATGAATGGTTCATGTAACTGTGAACTATGAATCCAAAACAGAATCAGGAATAACCACTCATTTAAAAAAAAAAAAAAAATAGCCAGCAGCAGTTAGCAATAGTGTAAATTATCATGTTTAGGCAGGGTGAGAGTGGCGGGGAGGTTGTAAACCAGGACAACTTTCTGGAGACCAATTTGGAAGCAGTCTCAAAATGTCCCCAACTTTTATCTTGACAGTACCATTCGGAATATTTATTTTAAAGTATTAAAAATGTGAGCAAATATTTAATATATTCATAAGAGTATATAATTTTAATTACCTAAATTGTCTAAAAGTAGATCCAATAATAGAAAATATACAGAGATACAATTTGACATATCAAATTATGACATAGATAATTATCTTGAGGAGAGTTTATGTCAAGTAAGGTTAGAAATAGCTACAGAAGTCTATGATTAACATGCTAAAATGTTTATAATGCTTGTATTTGCATACACAGAATAGGATATAACTATAGGAACTATAACAGGAATAACTATAATTAATACTGATTTCACAGTGATAGAATTGTGGGTGACTTCAGTGTTCTCTGGTACAATAGTTTCCAAATTGCTACCACAATACAAATCCTTTTTTAAGCCAAAAAAAAAAATACCGTAGGGAAAAAAAAAGTACTATAGGGAGGACCATGCTGGAGCCACAGGTGACTGTATGTGGCTTACCTAGAGGGTCAGCTGTCCTGACAGGTGCTTCCCACGAAGGTCCTGGGGCAGGGAGCGGGTGGTGCTTCAGACGAGGAGGGCATGGAGGAGACTACAGGGCATGGCTTGTTCGGAGCTCTGCCTCCTAGCGCAGGCCTGAAGGTTTATAGCAAGAAGATCTGAAGGAGTTGTCTCCATGAGGAACTGTGTGAGATTTGGGACATGTAGGACGGTCTGTGGGATCCTGACAGGGCAGAGACAGGGTGGCTGCAGGCTTTCCATCAGGGCATTCACCTCTGGCCGTGTGTGCAGTGGCGCTGGGCTCTGGCATCTCCATGGGAGCCTGGCAGCGGAGGGGGACAGAGGTCACTGCAGGATGGGAATGCGTAGAAAGGGCGGGTATGTGGATCCTTGACGTGCTCCTCAAGATGCCCACAATGAGAAAGAGGAGCTGCCTGAACCCTCCAGAACACACACAGCTTTCTCCACCCCAAATTCCACACATGGGATGCCTCCGTTTTCTCAGCAGCTGTGGAATCCTCGGTGAGGACATTCACATAGACTTCCCAGATGCACACTCCTCGTTTGGGCATCCAAACCACCACACCATTCAGTCCCAGGAATCTGTATTAAGACAAGGTTGGCAGAAGCGAAAGGAGGGTGTTTATAGGGACTGCACCTCCCTATGGAGAGCAGAGCCTGCCACAGAACAAAATGCTGCTGGTGCTGCGGTGTATGATGAAGAAAAGGAAAGGGTGGTCTGCACAAAATCTTGGTTCGGGTCTGAGGCACCGAGCGTTCCTGACCACGGCTGTGGCCCCGGCCGCCTCCGTGCCCTCCTCGTTCACCTCTATGAAGCACTTGTGCGCCACCTTGGACACGGGCACATTCTTCTTAGCTGACATTCCAGAAAAGTCTGCCTTGGCTTCCTCAAAGGCATCAGTCATACCTAAACTTCGAAGAAAAGATTCCAAGTCATAACTCTCCTCCAGCTTCAATCGGGGAAGGAAAACTTGAACTTTATCCTTAGTCATCTTCTCTGGATTTGTCCAGTCTCTGAACTTCTCATACGTAAGTGCTTTTTCCACCTGAAAAAAGGAGTCACTGAATCTTAAAATATAAACGACAAACCTGGTGCCCTTCTCTCCACTCAGCTCCCCACCCCACCATGACATACAATGACAGGAGTTCTGGTCCAAGACAATCTACAGATTTTCCCTTTGCACACACACCAAAAATTTTCCCTCAAATTCTCATCTTTTTCGCTGTTTTATGGATATAAAAGGAAAATAGCTTAAAAAAAGGAAAAACACGGAGAGAGAAGAGATTTTTTACTTACCTGTACCAAACTCACTTCAAATGTTTAGAGTTTGGAAAGTTCTCATAACCAAGCGATTATATTCATGTGATGCACATTAGTGTGAATTAGAAATTGTTTGACAAAAAAAAGACAGAGCACGGCTCAGAACTCTGACAGGCGAGAGCGGGAAAATCAGGGATTATCCAAACAGGAAGGAAGATGTGGCTTCTGGGGAGGGGAGAGCAGAGATGGAGAATTCGACAACACTGTGGCTCCTGACATTCTTGTTCATCTTCCGCCTTCCCTGGCATTCACTTCAAAACCTCCAAGACCCACCACTCTGTACACGGTGAAGAAAGAAAGGAAGAAGGAACCTCCACCGCCTGTCCCTCTTCTCGTCACCACCTGCAGCCCAGGTGAAAGTTCTTCTCCACGGATGGCTATTTGGACATTAGCTCGAATTCCCAGACTCTTCTAATTTTGAGTAGCCATGACAGATCTCACCCTTGACTTATGCCAATAGCTTTCTGATTCCATAGAAAACCAGGGAAACTGGCCAAGTCCTGCCCTCGACACCCTGTGCATCAGTGTGCTGGAACTGGCCGTACCTCCGGCGAGAGCCGGTTATTAAACCGTCAGTCACCTCACTCAGCCAGACACCATGACTGAGGCCGCTCTCCAGCCCCAGAGAGCTACTAACAAGCCCGCTACTGGCCTTGACCTCCTTACGAATTGACTTCCTCACACCCTGAACTTTGTTGCTTTTCTGTTGTGGGAAGAGATGGCTCTCCTCCTAAGGAATATTCCTCACCTGTCCTTGACACTCTTGCCACCCAAAGTGTGTCCCTGACCAACAGCATCTGTACCAGCTGGACTGTGGGCAGAAATGCAAAATGCCAGGCCCTCGAGGCCTGAATCAGAAACTGCCTTTTAACAAGCCACCCGGCGGAGTCCTACACACATTACTGTTTGAGAAGCACTGCCCAGATCCATCCCTCTCCTTGTCTAGCACTTTTGTTTCACAATTACTGGGACTCGACCAGCCCCTCCCGTCAGAATAAGGCACAGTGTTCTTATAAGTTCGGAAGTCTGTCCTCCTAGCGTCATCAGGATGGGAGCTCACCACCAGTTCCACTCCCGGATGCCCACTCACCGGAAACGCAAGCCCATGGTCACCCCAGATATGACATCCTGCTCACCAAGGACTCCTAATAACCCTCAAGGGGACATTCCTCACGCGCTAGCGGACAGACGGACAGGAAGACACGAGCTGAGCCCGTGTCCACAGATGCTCAGACACCCGGCCAGGGCTTACCACGGCGAGCTCAGTGTCGTCATCCGGCAGAAGAACCAGCAAGCTGAGCTCCTGCCCCGCGTAGGGCAGCTCCAGCACCTGCGTGTGCGCCTCAGCCACGTACCCCGTTTTAAATTTAGCTTGCTTGAACATCATCTGCACCGTCTTTTTCTCCTAATGAAAAACACGGAATTAAAATCAGATGGCTGAAAAATGAGCACGGCTTACAGAAAATGAGCTAAATCTCATCTGCACAAGCCCTCGGTCCACGTGAGAGAATTGTTATTTCTGCGTACTCGGCTGACAGAGGCGAAATGCTCACTGTGACATATTAGCATGGAATCCCACGTGCTCTTGTCCCAGCAGATCGACCATGACACGGTGAGCGAGAATAAAACTGACAGACACAGACATAAAACCCCACATTATTTTTGGAAGAAGCTATGGTTTTCTCTTCTGAGAAGATGTAGTAGGGAAGCACTCCCAGGGACCTTATAATTAAAGATTATTTATCCAAGTTAAATGGAGAACTAACTAATATTCGGGTTTGGGGGCTGAAGGATACAGTAAGAAGAGATGGGCAGGCCACAGAGACTTATATTTTTATTGTGAAAAGTTGCTCAGTTATATAACTGACTATATGGCTTTGGTTTCTTGGAGAGAAGACCTTGACAAGATTCGTAGTGTCCACTGATTCTAGAGCTTGTGCCAAATGTAGACTTTTAAATCTCTGTGCGACATGCCATCATCAGGTTGATGAAGTCAGATTTCAAGCTAAGTGCTCTTGATGCCAACCATCATCATACCCAAAAGTGAAGGGACAAAGGTGTTTTTAAAGTTAGGTTCTAAGTTTAGAAATCTGATGTCCAGCATGGCGACTACAGTTACTAACACTGTAGTGAATATTGGAAATTTGCTAAGAGAGCAGGTTTCAGGTGCTCTCATCACAAAAATAACATGATAACCATGTGAGGAAAATGTGTGCTAACTGGCTGGACCAAAGTTATTATTTCTATGTGAATTATATCAAATCATCATCTCATGCACATTATATACAATTTTTATTTTTAAAAAAGATCCAAAAATAAAGACAAAGTTTGCCTGAGCATCTGTTAACACTTTTTTTCTTGTGTTCAGAACTGTATGGCTATAAGTTATCAGGCAATATATACACATAGTTGTCACTGACATTGTAAGAAGGTGTCTGTGTAAATACAAACAGCAACAGTACAAGACAAACATAATTCCAAGGGTTGGAAGAAATTTTCTTTCAATCCAAATAATACGGCCGAAGATGCAAGGACGCAAACACAGAATTGTCTTTTCTCTTCCCCTCTCCAATAAAAGATACATAGGGAGCATGAAATTCACTCATAAATATAGGATGAAAACAAATTTTTTTTTTCCATTCATTCATAATCTTTCCCAGCATATTACTTGAAGTTAGCAGTACTCCCAAAAAATATTTCCCTACCTGGTTGACTTTAAAGGGCATTCCCCTTGTGTACTTCCTGTCAAACTGCTCATTCCACTTTCCTTTGAAATAGATGGCATTCACGAGAACCAACTTAGTCAGTGGATCCACGGTCCCAGCACCCAGGATCTCTGAAATCTTACCTGCAAAGAATATGAGAGAGGTTTATTGCCATGTGGGGGAGAAGGGAAGTGAATAAATGTTTGTTTCCAACAATTCTCCTGACATCTGAAGCTTGACTTGGTTGCCAGCCAGACTGGAATCCTGTTTTCCCGGAGGCCTGAGGAACAGGGCCGTGGGCTATAATGCTGTGCATGCACGCGGTGTGGATTACCCCCGCTGGTCCCTGAACAGCAGTCCTGAAGCAGGCAGGTCAACTCATTTTACCCTCAATTTACAGATGTAGAAATTCAAGTCAGAGCATTTGGCTGACATTTTGCCAATGTAACACAGGTGGCAAGTGGCTGAGCTGAGACAAGGGCCTGCGAGTCTTACTTCTTCTAACTGTAAGCTTCCCAACCTCAGTGCCATAATTTTTCAACCACGTGGCTTCTGGCATTTTAAGCCAGATCATCCTTTGTTGTGGGGGACGTCCTGTGCATTGTAGGATGTCCCGCCAGTAGCATTTCCCCAACTGGGACAACCACAATGTCTTCACTGTTGGCAAATGTCACGTAGGGGCTGATTCTGGTTGAGGATCATTGCTCCACGCCAACCTTCAAATCTCATTTAGGTGAGGAGAAGCTTCCGAAGGATGAAGGACTACAGGCCTATAAATGGATGAGAGCAGTCCTCCTGAAGGCAGTGAATACGGGAAGGAATTCAAAGGTACAATAAAGGGGCCCAAACTGAGTTCTCCATTGAGACTGGAGACAAGGTGACCCCCAATGTCCCTTGTGGCCTGACATTTTGGGGCAACATGCTGGCAGTCAATCTGATGAAGAGGAAGCAAGTGATGTAGGGAGAAGCTTCTGGCTTCCCTGGGGCACCCAGTACTGCTGGATCGACTGGAGAGCGAGAGATGACTGCACATACAATGTAGGAAAACATGAAAAGCTCTGCCCTTCCTAAGACCGTTACTTTATTGGCTTTCAGTATTATCGTGGGCGTTGCTGAGACGGGGACACGGTGGGTGCACCCTAAAGCCGGAACGGATGTCCTAAAGCATGCTAGGTGAGCACAGGAAGAAGTAAGTGATTTAACTCTCCCCGCTCCCCACCCCCCACCACACACACATATTTCTGGAAGTCTCTAGATTATATTAGGTACTTTGAGTGCTTAAAATTATGCCCTTCTCCATACTCCAGTCAAGCACTGGCGGAAATATTCCTGGTAAGACAGAGTGTGGTCTGGACCAGGGAGGCTGCAGCTCCACGGGAACTGCATTTCCCGAATCTGGAGCAAAGGTCACGCTCTGAAGGCACACGCGGCCGCAGCCAGTGACAGAGCTCTGAAGGCACACGCGGCCGCAGCCAGTGACAGAGGGCGGCGAACCCTGCAGATAAAACCAGCTGCGCTCGGGACCACTGGGAGATAACGGGCAAGGCCGGCCCATCTCAACCACAGCCTAAATTGAAAGTCACGCTGCTCTCAGCGCAGGACAAGGGCTCTCATCCCCTCCCCTCGGACAGAAGATTGCCCAGTCCCAAACAGGAAGCCTTTTTGGGGATTTTCCAGCACATTCCAGAGGGAACGGGGTCTGAAACCCTCATAGTCAGTTTACATGGCTTTTAGAAATAAATCACCACTCCGTGACCTCACGAACCCGAGAAATATAAGCGAACCTCCTCGCTGGCCTGGAAATCCGGCCAACACCCACCGGCCAACGCCGCGGAGGTCGCGCCCGCAGCGATCTCGGCGGAGCCCCCCCAACCCCCCAAGTGCGGCGCAGCGCACGCGCCTCACCTCCCGTCTTCTCGGTCACCCAGTCGTTGATGTGTCTCCTGCTCGCCTCTGTGTCTTCAGCGAACGACAGCTCCTCCAGCTCGGCCTGGTAGAACTCCTGACAGGATTCCCTAAAGGCCTGCGAACACAAGCCGGCCCTCTTCAGCCAAGTTCGCGCCGGAGCGAAAACATTTCCTCTCTGAACCTGTGCGGGGTTCAAGTGCGGGGCGTCCTGCCTTGAAGACTCATTCAAGCGAATGACAAAAACGCGGCGACCGCTGCCACCGAGCCGGACCCTCGTGTCAGGGCCCGGACACCAGGGGCTGAAGACATGACGCCGGCCCTGCGGGGACTCACGGCCCAAGGGGAGCAACAGCACAGAGACGTGCAGAGCCGCACAGGCTTCGAGAACGCGGCCAGCGGCGCGCGTGCGCAGAACCGCCCCCGCCCTCCCTGCCCAGCACTTCCGCTCCACGCTGACTTCCTGTTTGATTTTCTGCGTCTGCTCCGGACTCTCGCTTTGACCCGTTTTGGTATCACCAACACCAGCTACGATGTCTGAGCTTTGTGAATGAGTGAGAGGCTCCCTGGTGGAACCAGATCATCCAGAAATCTTATAGGTCTCTCCGGCAGTGCAATGTGATAGGCCTGGATCACATGGGAGGCTGTTGGGGTGGGAGGTGGTTTAGGGAAAATAGTCGCCAGGGGTGAGCCTTGGAATGTCATTTGGGGTCAAGTCAGGAAGTGCCTGTACCCAATACATGAAAACCCAGATAACTCACCTCACAAAAACTTGGTGTCAGATATAATGTGCCTGGCAATTGGCTCCCATCCTCCGCCCATCTCCTGTTCTCAAATATTTTAGCTTCTACAGAAGAAAGAAAATGTAGAGAGAAAGAGGAGCCAAGCAACTGAGAAAATGGGAAGGTGGCTCCTTGTGTCCCCAGTACCCCCAATGATAGTCCCCAAAGATCAGGCTGACATTCAAAAATGAACATCAATTAATGAAGATTCCTGGGATCATTAACGCCTGTCCTAGAAGACCCAGAATTATCTCCAATGATATTCAAGCCCAGAGCAAGTGACCTCCATGGGGTCGCACCCAACAGGAGCCAGGACAGGGATGTATTTGAATCTCACAGAAAAATCCTTGGAATTGCCAGCCAGGAAGATAGCTGGGTTTGCCCAGATCTCTTCATTAATCTGAGGTAGTGACACTCTGCATGGATGCAACATATTTTTTTGGCCGTCACTCGTTGCATGATGGCAGGCTTTTACTGGACCGGGGAACTTGAGAATTATATGCTTTAGTACTTAGGAAGTGCACAGATTTAAAACCTCAGTTTTAAGACCCAATTTTAATTTTCAAAAGACTACTCCATCAGTAGTGTGGAAGAACCCGGCTGGACTTGGAGAGATCCATCAGGAAAGACTCAAAATAATGATGTAGGAGATCCAGTGAGAGTCTGGACCCAGGCAGTGGTAGTGGTGATTCAGAAGAGGCGACAAATTTAGGAGGCCTTGAGAGACTAGCTCTGCCAGAACCACCCAATAACCAGAGGTGAGCTTGGGGACAGCCAGGTAAACACACGAGACTATGTGGTCACTGAGGCTTAGGGGATCAAGGCAAAGAAGCAGGTCTGCCTGCAGGAAGATAGACATACTGAGATTGATATCTGGAAGGGATCTATCAAAAACAACTTTAGGGGTGACTGGGTAGCTCAATCAGTTAAGCGTCTGTCTTGGGCTCAGGTCATGATCTCAGGGTCCCAGAATCAAGCCCTGCTCTGGGCTCCCTGCTCGGCAAGGAGTCTGCTTCTCCCTCTCCATCTGACCCTCCTCCCTGCTTGTGTGCTGTCTCTCTGTCTCAAATAAATAAAAACTTCTTAAAAATAAAAAAAAAAAAAAACTTTAAAAAGGACATACTTCAGAGGCAATCATAAAATTCAAAATTAGAATTATAAAAGTACAATTCAAACACACTTTTTAAGCAACAGAATTATACTTTATCTCTGTTCTTCTGCAGTTTCTACCTTATTTGCCATTTTTTTAACATGAGTGCATGAGGACAACTTACAGGAAGGAAATCACACGTCTTCTCTCCGAAGAGTCTGTTGGCAGTTCTGAGCAAGTACTGAGTGCCAGACTTGTTAACCTCCTTGAGAAGGGACCGGAAACCTTGGTGAACTTCTCCGCCTCTGTTCAAACAAAGCACCTGGTAACAGACAAGGACACGACTTGTAACTTTGCCATCTTGCTCCCACAGAGCGCTATCTCCAATGAGCCCTGCGCTAAAAATCACAAATGATCCCATCTTGAAAGGCAATGGCATTGCATTTAACCATCCTACAGCACCTTTCCACCTGGGCACTGTTGACATTTGGGGCCAGATATTCTGTGGCAGGGCCTAGGCTGTGCCTAAGACATTTTGCAGCATTTCTAGCCTCTGGCCACTAGATGTCAGTAGCACCTCTCAGACAATCAAGCTGCTCTGGACAGTGGCAAATGTCTCTCCGGGGTGTAAACCCACTTAGAAAGGCAGGCTGACTGAGGACAAAGCAAAAGCTGGCACCTTGCACCCCCTCTCCATCCGCTCCCCTCGGTAATATGTGTAGCATTCCTCAGGCACCCCTGACCGCCATAAACGAGAAATAGTTAACTTGCAGAGATCACAATCCTGCAAGACAGGAATCTCCCAACTATCTTGATGTGAATGGCTTGCCAAAAGACAACATTGATCAAGCCGGGAGACCTCCGGTATCCTGGCATCTTGTAGGCCCTCTTTAGCATATGAAAGCTCCTTTGAAACCTCCCTTTCCCTCACCTTCCCCCAACCGCAGGGTACATAACCTGCCATCCCTCACAACCCGGGGCAGCAGCTCTTCCTGCCCATGGGTCCTGTCCCCGTGCTTTAATAAACCACCATTCTGCACCAAAAAAAAAAAGAAAAGAAAAGAAAGGCAGGTGTGAAAACTCAGGAGGAAGACCGAACAGAACAAAGAGGTAGCTGGAATGAATCTAGCACAACCCACAACCCGGGGAACACAAGAATAAGCAGAAATCAACAGCAAATACTGAAGTAATTTCACAGAAGTTCTGTAGACCAGACTGGGACTTCTACGTCAAGTCAGAGTGGAAATTAAGGTTGTTCCTCTGTCTCGCAATGGCTCCAGTCCAAAGCCTCCCTCTGCCAGAGACCTGGAAGAAACCACTGCCCCCCGCCAAGCTGCCATCCCCAGAGACACTTCCAAAGGGCACCCACGCACCCCTGCTATCAATGGGGAAGTCCTGTGCATTGGCAATGTTCTGGGACACTCACAAGACTGTCAGAGAAACTTAAGATAACAAAGCGGTTAAAGACTACTTCCCTAAGGTACTTGCCACTACTTCCTTTGTAGCTCAAGTCCCACAGAACCCATTTTAGATCAATCAGATTATACAGTTCCTCTCAATAATTCCGGAGACGGAAGTCCACATTTGTGTTGCTTTCTTCTAGTGTATAATCATACGCTACAAAGAACCCATTTAACAGCAACTTCATTCAAACAGCTACATTTCAATTTGATATTTAACTTGAGCCAAAATTTAAAATGTAACAAAGGTGAAGTTTGGGGACTTTTTTTTTGGGGGGGGGGCAGATGCTAGCACGCTTACCTGGGACATCTGGGCAGCAGTGTTTCCTTTGGCCCCCATGAAGACCATGGCCAGGGCTGAGGAGATGCTCAGAGGGGAGAAGAACACATTTCGGGAGCTGTCCTCTTCACCCAACACTTTCAGTAAGTTGATGGCAAAACTGCCATTTGCTTCATAGAGATCGTCCATGAGGGAAGGTCTGCAAGGAAAGCACAACACGGAGGCACATCAGTCACGCCCCCTATTACATTATCGGGCCATTAGCACCGGTTGGTAGACGTAGCGTGTGTTCTGAAGAATAACTGCTCCCCCGCAGACGCCCACATAGAACCTCCCAAAACTCTGTTATCTTGGCACCTTGCATATGTAAGGGACTGAATTAAGGATCTTGAAATGGGGAGACTGTCTGAAGAACACAGGTGGGCTCAGTGTAATAACTGGGTTCTTAGGAAGGCAGGAGGGTCAGAGTCAGAGGAGGAGATGCGACAACAGAAGTAAAGGTCAAAACAGCTCACGGCCAAGGACCAAGGAATGCAGGCAGCCTCTGGGAGCTGCAAAAGGCAAGAGCCTGAATTCCTCCTCATTCCACAAGCGCCCTCTTGCTGCAAGTTCTCCCTTAGTTTGGTGTCTCTGGCATAATCCAGAAACAACGTCCTACTAAAGAGAAATCTTCATAAATAAAAACGACATGTCTGTCACCGTGTCATGTGAAATCAGCTGGATGGATTTCAACAAATTTTAAGGGCGGGTTTAGGATGGTCTGACCTAAAATATGGGCTACTGGGAAAACAGAAAGTTCATTTTGAATCAGGAGGACTCTAAAAAGATGCAGTTTTCCATAGAGTGGCTGAAATAGGGCTGGTGAGCAGGCACAGGAGCCCATAAGCAGGGAAATAAAACATGAGGTTCAAATCTCAAGTCATTGGGTGAGCATTTTGAGTCAAGAGTCATCAGTTCCAAGATCAGCCTGACCAATCCAGCCTTGACTTTCCCCCAACTTGAAGAGACTTTTTTTTTTCCCTAAAGATTTTATTTATTTATTTGACAGAGAGAGAGAGATCACAGGTAGGCAGAGAGGCATGCAGAGAGAGGGGGGGAAGCAGGCTCCCTGCTGAGCAGAGAGCCCAATGTGGGACTCCATCCCAGGACCCTGAGATCATGACCTGAGCTTCGAAGGCAGAGGTTTAACCCACTGAGCCACCCAGGCGCCCCTTGAAGAGACTTTAGACACACTCCTTCCTGCCTCTCGATGACCTCCCTTTCCTTAGAGCATTTACTTTAGACAACTTGTCCCTGTAATTGTTTCTCTGCTCTTTTGAGATAGAAATATTTTGAAAGCCTCTCTCCTGTTTTCAACCCAGGACAGTCTTTCTCAATCCCTCGAACCCTTTCCTATAAAAATGGAATTATCAAGGAAGACAGCGCCCTTACCTCCCAGTCTCTATGGGAGGGCAGGGGCAGAACCTCAGCGGCCCCCTTGCTCCAAGATGAGAGATATAATTGCAGCTTCTTAATTATTATAATTTTAGCAAGCTGTTATAAGTCCTGCATTAATTGTTTATTTCTCTTCTGCCTTCTAGAACCCTGGACTACTATTCAGTAAATTCTTAAAGTTCATCAACTCATCTTGGTTTCCCTGAGTCTCTTTGCTGTTCCAGGTGAAAACATTCTAGAAAATAAAATACAAATCGTCACCCATAATCCCATGACTCTGCAAGCTGCTTTTTTTCTATGATGTTATCCTTTTCTCCCCTCTATTTGCGTATATGTTTTTAACTCACAAGTTTTAAAGCTACACAAGAAAAATAGATTCCAGTTTGGAAAACCGGCAAATAAGGAATACCAAAAGTACTAGAATCTCTGCCTCCAATTAGAGTCACCACACATCTGTGCAGTTTTATCCACCAGTGGACGGTCATGTGGTATTTCTTCTTTCAGTTTCACAGAAGATTAGCTGTGCCTCCTAGAGCATTCTTGCATCTGTATCTCATTAGGCCTTCCTTGGTGGGGAGAGGGGGGCACGGCTCCTGGATTTCTCAGGGGCAGGAGAGGAAAGAGGAACTCAGTGGGTGGGAAGAGGACAGGGAGACAACTGTTTCAACCAGAGCCTCTCCAATTGCTGACTGGTTCCTTGAAAGCTTCTTCCTAAAATATTTTTTTCAAGAGAAGACATACCATGCCTCTGATTTAAGGAAGAAAAAAAATGTGATGTTAAACAAACAAACAGTATAAAGGCTCTGCTCTAAGTACAGACTCTACAACAGCTCCAAGCAGAGCAAATTCAGGTTTAAAAGAAATGATTTAAAACATCAACCAAGGGGCGCCTTGGGGGCAGGCGTTACTCAGTAGGTTAAGCAGCGGACTCTTGGTTTCAGCTCAGATCACCATCTCCGGGTCCTGGGATTGAGCCCCACGTGGTTTTATCAGGCTCTGCTCTGGAGTGAGTCTGCTTCTGGATTCTCTCTCCCTCTGCCCCTTCCCCTGCTTGTGCTCTCTCGCTCTCAAATAAACAGGTAAATCTTTAGTAAATAAGTAAGTGAATAATAAAGCATTAACCAAGAGAGTACAGTAGTGACAAAGTTTACCCAGCAGCAGGCTATGCTTGACAGGTGGTTTCGTGGACACTGTCCTCACTGTCCTCACTCCAGAGCTTTCCGCTGCAGGGCCTGAACCGGCAGGCTGCAGGCGTGCAACAGCCCATGGGTCTGCAGTGGGCAAGTCCCATGAGAGAGAGCAGTGTGCAGCCTGCCTGCAGGCCACCTCTGGGTTTCCGGGCCTTGCACTGGAAGACTTTTCCGAAAACAGCTAGGAGCCAGGGGGACGCAAACTGCACGGCATTCGGCCCACCACAAGGTGGCACCAAAGAGACCCAGAGGAGGAGAGAATTGGGTAACAGGAGGTGACAGACACAAACACATCTGGATTTGATCCTACCTGAGCCTAAATTTAGGCTGGTGTGAGTGGTGTGTGTGGGGAGTGTGTGTGTTTGTTGTCCTGCCTGCACAGGCAAAGGAGGGTACTAGAATATCACATCAATTCCAACTTAACATTTTAATGCTCTTAATGTCAAATGCCTGCTTCTGGTTTCTTCCACCGTTCTTCTTCCTTCAGTTCATTTCCACATGGGCAAGTGCTGGCCAGTAGCACGGTGTTTCCCATCAGCGTCTGCCTCACAGCAAGGACACCCTAGCTGACGCTCACCAGGCAGGCACCTCGGGAGTGTGTCCCAAGTCACACCCATGAAGAGGCAGGAGCCGAAGCAGGATAACCCAATGACTCTCTTTCCCCCAGTCTCATGTGCACACTAAACTTTCAAGGGGGTTATACCTGAAACAAAGTGGAACTTGCCCAATAAATCTAAAAAGAAATGAATTTCACGGCACCTAGATGGCTCAGTATGTTAAGCCTCTGCCTTCAGCTCAGGTATGATCCCAAGGTCCTGGGATCGAGTCCTGCATTGAGCTCTCTGCTCAGTGGAGAGTCTGCTTCCCCCTCTCCCTCTGCCTCTCCCCTGCTCATGTGCTCTCTCACTCACTCAATCTCAAATAAAATCTTTTAAAAAATAAAAAGGACTTTCACTATGATACAAATTTCAATATAATACGAAACAATACCTCTGGGTACACCATTCCACTGTGTCATAAAAACACAGCAATGTGGAAAGGTTTGATTTCCAGCCTATAAAATGAATTGGCATTAAACTAGTTTTTCTTTTAGTGGTGAGTGAAGTCCGGATCATTAAAGACTGTCCAAGGCTCTCACTATAAGAGCAGAAGAGTCAGCAGCAAAAGCAAAGCCTTCTGCTTCCAAGGAAGAGACACTGCTGTCCCCCTGGGGCCCCGACCTCCTGCGGTCTCCCTGCTCCACTCCGCCTTCCCACGGACACCTCCAAAAGTGAATCTATACAAAGAACATTTATTATAGAACTTTGCTTACATGGTTTAGAGAAGAAAATGAACAATAAAGACCATAACTGCTGATGGGGCGCTCCCCTCCCTCCGCTCCCCCACCTCCGGAGACACGCAAACATAAACATGTGCTTTCAAGCCAGCCTGCACTCTGTCATCTGGTAAATTTACAAAGTGCTACGGAAGTCCCCAGAGAGAGAAGCATTATTAATTCTCCTTAGAAGCTCAGGAGAAGATGAGGGGCAGCTGGCTTTCACACATTGGACAGGAGTGTCTGTGCGGTGGTGAAAGGGGAGGTGAGTGCTGCGGGTGCGGAGTGGGATTGGCAGCAGAGAGCGGGGGGGCGATGGTTGCAGGTCTGTGTACCGCGGAGGGACCAGAGGGACTGGGTCTCTGTAGTTGTGTGAACGGGGCGCACCTGGGCAAGAAGTCTAAATTTGAGCTATAGTCCGGAAAGCTATAGGTATAGTGTTTAGCCAAATGCCTTCTAGGAGTGCACTGGGCTTTAGAAAACGCAGTGTCACCACAGAGCAGGAGGGAGCATGAGCACCGCAGGGTGCCCGGTGGCATTGTCAGGCCAGGTGACCAATCACAGGAGGGACAAGGAGCAGGAGGAGTCAGGGAGTACACTGAAGCCGGTTAAAACAAGACCCCAGACCCCAGATGAAGGTGCTTATGCTCAGCCCCAGATGCGGAGACCTAACTGAATTAGTTCTCAGCTCTCCCCGAAAAGGAGTCTTAAACCAGTCAATGGGGAACTGCCTAGCCTGCCCTAGTGAGGTCCCCCGCCTGCCAGACCCCTGCTATCCGCTAAAGGAAAATAACTTTGCAATACCCAACCCTCTGTTTTGCTATAACTTCCTTGTCCCCACTCCCTTCTGCTTATAAGTCTAGGATTTTTGAAGAGCTCCTCCGAGCTCCTTTCTACCTGCTAGACTGGGTGCCGTCCCACTCGAATTCCCCTGTGCTCGGATGAACTGAATTTTTAAACATGCCTCTATTTATCTTCTAACAAACTCCTAGGTCATGGATGCTTGGGGCGGCCGTGACCCACTGGAAATTTATATGAGGAGCCAGATGGAAGGAGGAAGGTGATACATTCGATTTGAGACGTGCAGACTCGGTACCCGCCCTGGATCCCTGCAACAAAGACAGCCGAGGGATGTTTGTAAATCCAGGCAGGTTACTGAGTCGGGCACAAGTCCCGGAGCATGAGACTGGGGGTCGTGAGCACCCAGGTTGCGGGAGATCCTAGGCAAATGGGATGAAATTACAACGTACAGAGAGGCATAAGAGGAGAAACTCACCTAGTTTTTTAAGAATTTCTGGTATTTGCAGATAGGAAGAGGAAGAGACAAGGCCTGATGCCCAGGGCAGCCCCAGGGCTGGAGGAGGACAGACAGATGGCAGGGCCCGTAAGAGGCTCGCCAAGCAGCAGGAGCAGGAGCTGGGGAGAATCCGGGAAGTGGGGAGTCCATTCAATTACCTACTGTGGCTGCGGGCCAGGTGGAAACAGCAAGGGAGCATATTCTCAAACTGGGGAAAAGCAGCCAATAAAGAGCAGGTGAAAGAAAGGAAAAAAGAAAAAAGAATATGGAAGAAAAACAGGATAAAGGAAGGAAGGGGAAGCCTGGAGGGAGGGAGGAGGCAGAGGGAGGGGCCTACCCTCGCGGGAGGTGGCGCTGACCCAGCACCTCCCCGGAACTTGCCCAAGGCGCCCTGGAAATTCCAGGCGAGGCAGCACCCGGCGCCCCGGTCTCCCTGCTGCACCCTGCGGCTGCTCCCACGCACCCTCCCAAAAGCTTCCGCCCAGCGGTCTCCCGCACCAGAACCCCGGGCTTGGGCGACCCGCCTCTCCCTCCTGCGGGCAGATCGCAGCGCGGTGGCGTCAGCCGGCCGCGGCGTCACTCCCCCTCGGGGGACATCCCCCTCCCCCACCCGCCCCCCGCTCAGGGCGTGTCTGCGCTCCGGCGCTCGCTGCCTCGGCCGGCCGCGCCCTCAGTCACCTTAGAGCCCCGCGCACGGCTGCCCCGCCGCGGTCCGGTCCGATCACCCTCCCACCACCACCCTGCCCACAGCGCCTCGTCCTCTCCTCCTGCTCCGCGCTCTGCATCCGCCCCCCGCCCGCCTCCCTCCCGCCCCGCGTCCCGCCGCGCTCCCGGCGCGGGGGGGGGCGGGGGGGGGGGCTCCGCACGGGGAACCTGGGGACCCGCGCGCTTCGCGGCCCGGTACCTGGGAGACTCCGGCTGCGGCGGCGGCGGCTGCTCCTCCAGCTCGCTGCGAGCTTCCCGGCGGCTTTGATCCTGGGCGAGGCTTCCGGCGGGTGACTCAGAGCCAACCGGATTGCCTGGCACCCAGCGCGTCCGCGGGAGGGCCCCGAGCCTCCCCCGCGGTGCTCTCGCCCGGCTCGCGTGCACGCGGCCTGGTGGGGGAGGCTGGGCCGCGACCTCCGAGGGTGTCTGCCGAGTCCCTCCCCAAAGGGACTGGTTTGTTTTCTCGGGTTAGTCCGCGCAGTGTTCGTGTTTGGTGCGTGTACGCAAGAGCAGTTTCAACATTGGGACTTCACTTTGGAAATTAACTAAAAGCAGGAGCAGAGTGTAAAGGTTCTTAAATCCAGGGGCTTCCAAACTGTTTTGGTAGGACCCCCATCAAGACAGGTTTTGAGCACGATCTCCGGTTTCAGTATTCATGTTTAGATGGGCTAATACGCTTAATACTAATATATGACAAACGCTATAAAAACATAAAAATTTCAAAGAATAAAAAAAATTATTAGAAATACATTTTTTTGCACTCAAAAATTATTTCAATATTTGATGAGGTCACAGTGATTGAATAAGTGTTTATTTTAATCTTAATTTAACGCTTTGAAATACAATAAAGACCTGCTTTTAAACTCTATTTATTTCTAAACGTGGATTGATAGCTGTCACAATGCTTCCCAGGAAATGGGTTGATTAAAGTAGAATGAAGTCATCATTGGTTCTACTGACTAAACCTTGACACTTGATTTTCATTCATATACTAACTGTACAAAGATATCTGGTCGAGATCTAAATATTAAAAATCTATTTATCCTCTTGAAAATCATTGCCTTTTGCAAACCCAGATTTTTCAGCGTGTACTTTCAGTATTTGAACAGTTAGAAGCCCACTAAATCTTTTCTTTTTGGAAGGTTTTTGTGAAGTTTAGAAAATTATATTTGCAAGTTTTTAAGTGCCCATATTTGAGAGTTTTAACATCTTTTTCTAATAATGAGATCATACAAGGACGGAAAAACATGCCAGTGGATGTTCTCAAATGATCCCTTTACAATCCTTCAAAAGCGGTTGATTTCACATTCATAGATAAAACACACCTTTACCTGAAGGCAATCAGTCAACAGCATTTTTTTTTTTAAATACTTGCTAGGGGTTCTACTGGTAACAGCCTTACCACTTAGCAGCTGAGAAAAGGTCAGCACATTTGGAACACTAGACTTTTTGAAAAGAAAATAATAATTAACTACTGTTAATTGATTAACTAATATTAATTAACTGATACCTAACCTCCCACCAATGCCCTGTGTTGTGACCACCACCCAGGAGCCCGTTCTAGTACCCCAGGCTGCTCTGCTATGAGCAACAGACAGGAGATTGGAAACCGTCTGTGTGACTCTGGAGTTCACTGTTTTAAGCACTATGCTACACTATGACCTCCCAAAAAGATAGTAGTGGTGGAGAGCACATTAAAGTTATCATTTTAAAGCATAAAATTCACAAGTATAAAAACTATCGGTTTCCAATGCTGGTAAGGTCAGACAGGCATGACTTCTTATTCTCCATAAGCAATGCTGTAAATTGGGTGCCAATTACTTCCAGAATTGTGTTTAAAGAAAAAAAAAAAAAGAAGAAGAAGAAGAAATGAAATGAAAAGAAAAAAGAAAAGAAGCATGGGTGGAATAAGAAAGAAAAAGAAGAAATTGCTGTGAAAATATTTATACTTTCTGAATCAAAATTGCATTTCAAGGAATTTCACTGAAAGTAAAACACACAAACATGGATTAAAATATTATGCGGAATGATGACCCCTTCATCCTTTTTTCGTGTGCACAGAGAAAATCAGCAAATGCCCAACAACAGAACAGATCGGATTCTATCACATCCGTGATAGGATATTAATGTAAAGATTAGGAGAACAAAACAATGTTGTCACAGGGAGCATGAGTTATTAAGTGTAAATTAGGAATAAAGTTACATATGAGCATAATCTGGATAGATTAGAAGGAAATAAATTCCATACGTGACGAGTTTTTGAGTGACAGGTAATTTTTATGTTATTTATGTTTTTTCTGAGGTTTTGAAAACTTTTCCTTTCATGAAATTAATGTGCATACATTTAGCTGAAAAATCAAATAATGCTCAAGGAAATATTTGAAAAGACAAGAGGTTCCGGGGCGCCTGGCTGGCTCAGTGGGTTAAAGCCTCTTCCTTCAGCTCAGGTCACGATCCTAGGGTCCTGGGATCGAGCCCCACATAGGGCTCTCTGCTCAGCAGAGAACCTGCTTCCTCCTCTCTCTCTGCCTGCCTCTCTGCCTACTTGAGATCTCTGTCTGTCAAATAAATAAATAAAGTCTTTAAAAAAAAAAAAGATTAAAAAAAAGATAAAAAAAAAAAAGAGAGAGACAAGAGGTTCCTATCCACTCCTCCCACCTCCCCCAGAAGCAGTCACTCTTTCTCCTCATACCTGCCTCCAGATTTGCAAATAATATGGCTATATTGCCATTTTTGACCTAACCATTTGAGACATTATCTATTGCCTTTCTAACTTAGGGGCTGAGGATTGGGTCTTCTTACACCACTCACACTATCTCACTTGCCCTAAGTGTTAACTTGATTACAACAAAATAGTACTTATTGCTGAGTTAAGGCGTATACTACAAACGCATTAGTCTTTTCTGATAATACCATTTTTCCTTATGTTCCTACTGCCTTCTTCCCCATTTCTTCAGTTTGCTGTGTACTGATGGAAATGTGTCCCCAAATATTGTACAGATCAAGCAAACCTTGTCAATATTCTTCTGCGTGCACTCTTCCATATGAGAAACTCATCAATCCCGTTTTTCTTCTCCTAGTCTGCCACCCTGCTGGTAAAGGCAAGGTTCTTTAAAGTTGTGGGATTTTCCCTCCCACAGGGTAATCTCACAGATAGGGTAAGACTTCCCCTACTGTTAAACCTTAGTTAGCAGGCAATTTATTGCTTGTCAGTTGAGTAAAAATAATCTTTTCTAGACCATTAAAGCACACTGCTTAAATAGTAAATAAATTATTTTTTTCTTAAATGTTTAGGCATTGATTACACAACATGTCAGATTTTTTAAAAGCTTTAAACACCTTACAGCAAACTTACAAAGATCATAAAACACTTTTGCAAACATTTGAACTTCCGTAAATCCAATAAATCAAGACTTACAAGTCTAGTGAACTAGACTCTCCTAAGACTCAAGCATGTAAAAAAAAAAAAATACACAAAATAGCACAATGATTGCAAGACTTACCCTACTAATCTCATTCCTACTCATCTGACGTTTCTAGTATCATCCTTCTTCCTTTCTTGTTTGTTTGAAAAATATGGTGTTTAATGCTGTCAGACTCTGAGAGTGTCACAACGATTTTCCTTTATAATATTTAAGGACTTATAATTTACCAGAACACAGACACAAAAGGATTTGTTTCACTGCTACTTAGTGTGAGATATTATGGATGGAGGCAAATGTTTCATAGAGATATGATAAAATGTTATATATATTATAATTTCTTTCTTTGGAGCTAAAGCATAGCTATGACAAAATTTCATATATATTACAATTCCCTATCCTCGCAGCTAAGGCATTGTTTTATCCTACAATACTGAGCCAAGATTTAATACAGAATACACATTTTCTGATATGAATTTATACACTGTTCATGTCAGATCTAGCCTTTCCTTTTGTTAGATGAATATCAAAAAAATAACCTAGAGTATATAATCAGTTTCTGAAATCAAAATAACAGGGGAACTTGGGTGGCTCAGGCAATTAAGCATCTACCTTTGGCTCAGGTCATAATCTCAGGGTTTTGTGATGGAGCCCAGTGTCCATAGTCTTGGAGCTCCCTACTCAGTGGGGAATCTGCTTCTTTTGCCCCCTCCCACACTCACGCTCACCCTCTTAAATAAAAAAATCGTTTTTTAAAAAAGAAACTTGTTCTTCTACCTCATAAGATTTTTTTTTAAGATTTTTATTTATTTATTTGGCAGAGAGAGATCACAAGCAGGCAGAAAGGCAGGCAGAGAGAGAGGGTAAAGCAGGCTCCCTGTTGAACAGAGAGCCGGATGCTGCCTCAATCCCAGGATGCTGAGATCATGACCTAAGCCGAAGGCAAAGGCTTAACCCACTGAGTCACCCAGGTGCCCCTACCTCATAAGATTTTTAAAGGCAGGGATGTTAATATGACTACACTTTTACACAATAATTATTTTTAATAAAATATTTATTTTTGAATTATTTTAGATTCACAAAAACGTTGTAAAGATAATCCAGGGAATTCTGTATACTCCTAACACCTTTTCCCTGGTGCTAACATCTAACATAATCTTTCTACATTTGTTTAAACTAAAAATCCATATATCACCTTTATAAAGATTTTTCTTCTCTCAATGAGGCATGTGAAATATAAGTAACAATGATAATACAATGACCAAGTAGTTCAAAAATTGTAAGGCATTTGGTTGAATAACAGTACTGAAATGTAAATAATAGTCACATTAAGACAAAATGTTAAGTGGTAAAAATAAAATTTTCCATCCTCTCTAGATTTATAAGTATGATAAAACCACTAGAATGCATTATTTCAAGGTTTATTTGCTAACATTCAAATGTGAAGAAGATACAAGCTGCAAACTGGTTTTTATTATAATTGTGTTTCTCCATCTTTTCGTACACTTTTCACACCAGAAGTTGGTCTCGTTTAATGAGAGAGATACATTGTCTAGGGGGAGCAGAATCTCCCGTAAAAGAGAATGTTACTAGTTTTGTTGTGCCTGATAAAGAAGAGGAACGGGTGGTTTGCATTAAATTCAATGGAAGGGAGCCTAATTCGAGCGCTCACCACACTCCCAGTGCCAGCTGTAGCCTCTGTACCTTGTTCATTTATTTCTACAAAAGACTTGTGGAAAACATTGGACAGAAATAAGTTTCTCTCCATAGACATTCCTGAGAAATCAGCTCTGTTCTGGTTAAAGGCATCACTCATCCCCATACTGCTCAGGGTTGACTTGAGATTGTAAGTCTCTTCCAGCTTGAACTTGGGGAGCTGCAGCTGAACCTCGTACAACTCCATCATGTCTGCGCTGGTCCATTCACTCAGCTTCTCATAGGTGGTGGCCTTTTCCAGCTGCAGGTGTGGAACAAGGAGGAGAGAGTCAATAATTCCATAAAGAGTGGTTGAGTGAGACCTGGATACTACATAGATGAATTACCGTCCCTCCCATTAACCAGGATAACAGAGCACACACGTTTGGAAATTCTTTGTGTAATGAGATTCTTCACCCTGTTGACCTACAGAATCTTTGTTTTGTAACTGACTAGTTGCCGGGATACAGGAGAATTAGACCTTATTTCAAAATGGTGTACTTCTATGCCAGCATGCAAGACATCAACTACACACAGAAATGGGTCAACATAAATATGCCTTATGTGCTGTCTACACAAAAGTATAAATTTTAGAACAAGTTATGTGCTGGGGTACAAAAGGATATCTGTTATATTAACATGAGAGGCAGTTCTTTGAAAACAATATCTGAGATAAAATAAAATGTCTATATAAACACAACAATATGAAATTAATAACAATAAGCTATGCCCCAAAAAAGAGAAGGAAGAGTAAAGAAAGGAAAATCTCCAAATCTTAAAAATAATGCCTGTTTTTTAGTATAGTTTTTTAGAGTGTTTTTCTCCTCTTTATATTTTAAATTTTTAAAATAATAAATATATATGGATATACACACCCATATGTATACAGGAGAAAAAAATGTGCTTGATTTTTTTTTCAGATGTTTGTTTCAAGATGCATGTTTTTGCTACTTTGAGAGTTTTCTAGACTCAAGCTGTCAGTGACATACTTGTAGATGGTACACATTAGTAATCTGACAACATATTCAGCTCAGGAGCCTGAACTTTTAGGAAGAAAGGGTTATCTTATAAAGGTGTGATGCTAATAGTTTACTGTACACCCTTGGTCTTACTTTTACCATTCTTTCCAGTTTCACAAATTTTATGATACCATTTGGAAATCTCTTCAAAATTCTAGCAGGGCTATGAAAACTTACAAGTATACAGAATCTGGAACACACAAAAAGTTATGCACAGTGCAAAGAAAGCCAGGCCACTCACTGCATGGGAAACTAATGTTCAATTTAAACATACAAATTGCTCAGAAACATGGTCTGACCAAAGTTATATCAGGCTTCATAGAAATTTACCTGATAAACAATACTTGCAGGTAGTACTGATACTTAGTACAGATACAGCCTTTTCCTCCTGAAGACTTTATTTAATTAAAATAGTTTTTTTTTCAAGTTTTGGAAGTCAGAGTCTTGTTGAAAAATGTATATCTCAAGCTAGATTAATGCAAATGATTAAAAAATTAACCTTTGATTAAGTAGGCCCTACCAGAGGGAGAAGAAAGACCTAGACTGAGGTCAGCTCTGTGACTGACAAAGAATATATGTATCTGTTGCTCCTGTGACTGTTCTTTTAGCTACCCGGTCCTAGCACCTACAGATTACTTAAACTTTCTGAGGAATAGTGTGACAACTTATAGAATTTCATAAAACTTAAACGATACTGTGAAGGTAAAGACGTCAAGGCTCAAGGTATGTTAGTTGTCTTCCTCTATAGGAATCAAAGAAACAAACAGGGAGACCATGTCTTGTGTCTCCCCAGAGGGGTAAATGCCAGAACCACCTTCACAGCGGACGGACTGTACCTGATCCAGGCCATCGATATCTTCTGGCAGCAGTATGAGCAGGCTGAGGTCACGGTTTTCATAGTAGAGTTGTAGGCCCATAGCTTGTGGCTTTTCAATGTGAAAAACTTGGAGTTTTTCCTTCATGGACATCATTTGCACTGGTTTGCTTGTACTCTATGGAAAGGAAGTAGCAAAGTCATTGAGAAGGTGTTCCACCAAATTCTTAATTTTGTTGTATCATAATTGGTTCCCAGTAGTCTGGGACACTGGCAAAACTGGTGATTCTCTGCAAAATGCTGAATAAAGTTACACAGACCTTGTTTTCTGAAATAGGTGTTCTACCAGATAACATTATCGATAAGTGATGTGGAAGTTGCCTTTTATAACACTATTGTGGCAACCTCTATAAGTCACAGCAAGCTGGATCCTACTGAACACTTAAAAAAGTATCTTATCTCATGCAAACTATGCCAATGTCAATGATTCAGAAACGGCATAAGGTGGATTTCATATGCAAACATTTGAGAAAGTATTTTAGTATCATAAACACTGACATTTACTAGGAGAATAAAAAGACAATAGGCTAGGAGGACATACTTGTAAAACACATATCTGATAAAGAATCAGTATCAAAATATATAAAGAACCTTTAAAAACTCAATGGTAATAAAAGAACCCAATTTTTAAAATAGGCAAAAGATATGAACAGATACCTCACTGAAGGAAGATTTACAGCATATGAAAAGATGCTCAAGCATACGCCATGAGGAAATTGCAAATTAGAACAATGAGATAGCACTACAGACCTTTTAGCATGGCTTAAAATCCAAAACACTGATGATATCAACTGCTGACAAGGATATGGAGCAACTGGAACTGTGATTCCCTGACAGTGGGAATGCAAAGTGGAAGCCACTTCCAGGGTCAGTTTGGCAGGTTCTTACAAAGCTAAACATGGTATTACCACATGACCCAACAAGTGTGCTCCTGAGTATTTACCAGAAGAAGTTAAAAACTATGTCCACATAAAATCTTGCACACAGATTATTTATAGCAGCTTTATTCATAATTGCCCAAAATTGGAAACAACCAGACGTCCTTCAATAGGTGAATTGCAAAACAAACTACAATATGTCCAGATAATGGAAAATTATTCAATAGTAAAGTGAAATGATCTATCAAGCCAGGGAGAGACAGGGAGAAAGCTTAAATCTATTGCCTATTGCTTAGTGGAAGAGACCAGTCTAAAAAGTCTACATACTATAAAATTCCAACTACATGGCCCTCCAGAAAAAGCAAAACTATAGAGACAGTAAAAAGATGAGTGGTTGCCGGGTATTTAGGAGGAGGGATGAATGGAGTACAGAGCATTTTTAGGACAGTTAAACTATTCCATATGAAAACAGAATGGCAGATACGTGACATTATGCATTAGTCAAAGCCCATAGAACTACACAAGACCAAAAGTGAACCCTAATGTTAACTACAGACTTAAATTAATGGAAATGTATGAATATTGGCTCATTAACTATAACAAAGGCACCACACTAATGCAAAATGTTAATAATAAGGGAAATTATGTGGCTGGTGATATATGGGAATTCTACTTCCTCTCAATTTTGCTACAAACCTAAAAATGCTCTTTAAAAAAGTGTATTTATAGTAAGGCCAATAGTAATATAAAAACAAAACCCTGCAATTCAGATGTTGTAGACACTTTACTTACCCATTCTATAGGGAGCTGTTAATCACAAAGTCCCACCCGTCTGCTAATGTAGTGGTCATATGATTAGGGTTGTTCATTCAGGATACTTCATGACACAGTGATTTTTCAGGGATGAACACATGAATGGCATAAAACAGAGCCCTCCTTAAGGAAGGAGCATTCTGTTAGAGCTAGCAGAAGGACTATTTACCAGAGTTATGAAGCTCAAAGTCTGACGATGGAGCAACCAAATTCTCTGGTCATATAGAGAAATTGTATCTTTAGTATTAGAGAATGAAGGTGATAACCAGAGGGAGTAAAGGTGATGGGAGTGAGGGAAGAGAGGGACAGAGAAGTGAGATTATGTCTTGAGACTCCCTGGACCTCTCAGTTCCCCTTAGTTATGTAAATAATGCTAATACAATTCCCATTTTCCTGAAGCTATTTTGGAATGTTATCTTATCACTTGCAACTGAAAATTCCTTGTGGATATACTAAGGCAGGTAACTATCCAGCTCATTTCTTCTTAGCCCATTCAATTACATGTTTGGTCCCTTCCCCATTTTATCCCACTGATTGTCTGAAAGCCACCTACTGCACATACCTGCATGCTTACTGTATTAGGTCCCTGGGAACACTGGTTATGTGAGAAGACCCACCCCAGGACTAATCAGCTTTAACAAATGTTGGCTAATCAATTCCTTTCCTAGGAATTTAAAATGAGATTAGACTGGTCTCTAAAATGGAGGCAATGTTGTGAGTACCATGTTCTGCCATCATGGACTGGGAAGAAGAGAAAGTTAGACTTCAGCCTGAGGGAAGAATGATGGGAGAAACAGAGTTGCAAAGATAGAGACTGAATCTTGACTACATTTGAATCCTTGTTTCCACTCAAGTTCCAAGGCCCAAACGTATTCTAGCCCTTGGATTCTAGGGGATCTATCTGTCGCCTTATATTAGTCTCCTTTCTTGAGGTAGTGAGTTCCTATCTATCACAAAAATTATTGTGTTGTATACTAACACAAAGAGAAAACAATGGAAAGCATGAGATTTTAGATGTGTCTTTCTTTTTTTTTTTAAGATTTTATTTATTTATTTGAGAGACAGAGATCACAACTAGGCAGAGAAGCAGGCAGAGAGAGAGGGAGAAGCAGGCTCCCTGCTGAGCAGAGAGCCTGATGCGGGGCTCGATCCCAGGACCCTGGGATCATGACCTGAGCCAAAGGCAGAGGCTTTAACCCACTGAGCCACCCAGGCACCCCTAAATGTGTCTTTCTTTTACTTATGGCAAGATAAGAGTTTGGTAGAAGAGAGTATTGGTGTAATAGAACAAAAACAGAACTAATAGTGAAGAGTTGGGGGTTACGGTTCTGGTAGATTTTTAACTTAGGCATGGCTCCAGTCACTTTGACATCTGGGAAATAAATATAATAACTATCTTACCTACTCCACCATAGTCAAAGCAAGAACTAAGTGATAAAATATGTGAATTGTCTCTCTTCAGAGAAGAAACAATGAAAAGAGGAATCCCCAGGAGGGATGGACCTGGCTTTTAGCTCAGGTATCCCTGCCCTGGTAATAGGCAGACTTTCCAGAAACATTTATTCAAAAGGAAGAGTGAATTTCAAATAGAATCTCCTTTAAAATATCATGTAAAAACCATGCTGATTATTAAAAGTTTTCTACCTTGTTTATTCTGAAAGGCTTTTCTGTGGTGTTTTGGACTAAGAACTGATGTTCCCAGATTCCTTTAAAGTAAAGGGCATTCACCAGAACCATTCTGGTTGCAGAATCCACTGCATCATCAGGTAGGAGATTCTGGATTTTTCCTATAAGAACAAAAGGATAGATTACAAATGGTATAGTTACATCCTGGCAATATGCCACACTTATAAAAATGATAATTATGAAATACTACTGACTGATATCTTATATCCACCAATGATCCAAACCAGGAAGTTAGCATTAACAGAATATTACTCACAGGTCCTATTTAAATTTCATGTGCTGTTCCAATAAAACTCTTCTTTTGGATCAGAAATCAATCCAGGATCTCAAGTTGTAGTTATGTCATTTTGTCTTAGCACCTTTGAGTCTGGAATAGTTCCTCATTCCTTCTTTGTCTTTCATGAATTTGACACTTTTGAATAAGTTTGGTAGTGTGTCCCTCAATTCTCAGTTCAGATTTGTCTGATGTTTCCTCAATTGTATCCCACCAGAAAGATATGTTAGGTCCTAAATACCAGTCCCTGTGAATGTGCTCTTATATGGAAATAGGGTCTCTGCAGACCTAATCAAGTTAAGATGGAGGTCATCCTGGATTAGAGTAGCTTTAACCTAATAATGATATCCTTACAAGAGGAGGAAAATTTGGACATAGACACACAGAGAGGACAAGACGATGTGAAAACACAGACACAGGACAGACTTAAAGAAGATTATGTGCCAACAGAGGCAGAGATTGAAGAGTCCACAAGCCAAGGAATGTCAAGGATTGCCCCCAACCACCTGAAGTTGAGGGGAGGCATGGAACAGTGCCTTCCCTAGAGCATTTAAAGGAAGTGTGGCCCTGCTCACATCTTGATTTCAGATTTGAAGCCTCCAGAACTGTGGGAGAATACATTTCTATTGTTTGAAACCATCCAGTTTGTGGTAATTGGTCATGGCAGCCCTAGGTCACAAACACAACCACAGAAACAATATTATGTGCTTCTCAATGAATCATACCAGGAAACAGATTGTGTTCTTATTTCCCACTATGGGTGATGTTAACTTTGATGATTTGATTCCCACAGGTTTCTCACTGTAAAATTACGGCTTTTTCCCTTTCTAATTCATAAGTGTCATGTGGGGAGCTACTAGATGACCATGTAAATTTCCTCTTTCTCATCAAACTTTTGCCCACCAATTTTAGCATTCGTTGATGATCTTGCCTGAAACAATGATGACTGTGGTGTTTTGCCAAATGGTGATTTTCGATTTCCACTATTCCTTCTACATTTATCAACTGGAATTCTACTATGAGGAAGAACTCTCCCATCTCCTCCTTTTATTTAGGTATTCAATAATTTATATCAGTATAGACTCATAGATGTTTGTTTTACCCTATGGGTTATAATTTATTACTATCATTATCTATTTTGTTGCCCAAATTGTCCCAGATTTGGCTATTAGAAACCTTCTCAAGTTGGCTCCTATGTCCATTTGACATGTTCTCAGATATTTTGAGCATTTACCTATATTCTGGTACCACAGTATGTCCTAAAGTTCATCTGGTGCTTTCCATGTCCCAGCCCTAGAATTGGCATTTCTTCTAGGAGCCTTGGTTATGTTGTTTTTTGTTTTTTGTTTTTGTTTTTGTATTTGAAGGATGGGTTTTAGAAATCAAGATGTGGATGTTAGCTATGTTCATTATTGCTGGGGTGTCATTGCTCAGCAGAGAAAGCTAGAAAATACATGTATTATACACACATCTATAAATATTTCCATATCTAATTTTCTACTTATGTATTATAGATGAGGAATTCATATTGATATCTCCTATTTCAACCCAGCACCATGGAGTTCACGCTCATCTTTGCTTTTCCTTATTTACAATTCCTTTCCCTGTCAGTGAAACACCTGAGCCTTATTATTTCCAATATATTTATTCATTTGCTCAGTCCTAGAATATACATAAAATAGTTTGAGAATGGCTAACCCATTCTCCTATGAAAAGCAATTTTGATAACTAAGGTACAAGATCTGTGTACAGTTCTCTTTTTAAAGCCTTAGAGTACATAGTCAAACTATGTTTTTCTAGAACAAATATTTGTTGAAAAGAATAATTCTGAAACAGGAATGCAAACTAAAAAAAGATGCTATTGAAAGACATTTTGAAGAGAAAATACAGATGGATTAGGTGAAACCAGAGCGAGTGCACGCGTGCGCGCGCGCGCACACACACACACACACACACACACACACAGCCCCAGAGGACTGCTGAGCAAGGCCAAATGTTATCCAGGAAACTGGAACCTCAAAGGCTGTGAGCAGTGGAGCTCAATGGGAAAGGGGGAGTGTTAATAGAATTGAGGGCATTATCCTATTCACAATAATTATTCTTAGCCTTGATTGTCAATTAGAATCACCTGAGGATTTAGACCATACTGATGCCTGAGCCTCCCTCCTAGAGATCTCAATTAATTCATCTGGGGTTGGACTTAGGAATTAGTAATCTTAGTTTCATGTGTCGTGAGAACTGAGAGCCACTGGTTTGGAGCCATTTGGTCTAATGGTCTTTAATACCTCCCTGTGTGCCAGTAATGGGTAGCAAATATGTCCACCTGCAGGTTATTGCAATGAGCAAGGACATCCATACCACAGTGAAGTCAGGACTAGTGGGGTTGCTGACTTGCCTTTTTTTTTTTTTTTTAAATAAGGACTATATATAACACATGTGCTAAAACTTTCAAAAATAATTAAGAACAACTAAAATTAGGTCTATTTAACTTCTCGATTTCCCTTTATTGTTATAAACAAAAAGTAAGGGGTGCCTGGGTGGCTCAGTGGATTAAAGCCTCTGCCTTCAGCTCAGGTCATGATCCCAGGGTCTTGAATATGTTTTGAATTGAGCCCCAAATCGGGCTCTCTGCTCAGCAGCTCTCTGCCTGCCTGTCTGCCTACTCGTGATCTCTATCTGTCAAATAAAATCTTAAAAAAAAAAAAAAAAGTAGGTATGGAAAACAAGAGTAGGTCAGTGAAATACAACAAAATATAAAATAAAATAAAATAAAATAAAATAAAATAAAATAAAATAAAATAAAATAAAATAAAATAAAATGAAATCCAGAGCTTGTCTTTCCATTTCCAGTGGTTTGCTGGTAAACTGTCTCCAGGTAGGGGTGGGGGAGAAGGAAACTCTTGATTTGTAGCCCATTTCTGGGGGGTAAATATTCTCCCCATATTGATTTTGAGCTACCAACATGGAAGTCTGGGAAAGCAGGGTTGGGAAGACATGTGCACACGCAACAGATGGGCTCCAAAAGCCTGACTGCGCATGTGCACACCCCGCCTGCAGAAGTCCTCGTCCGACACATGAGAAGCCCCTGTGCAGCTTTTGAAAAAAGTTTTGGGGTCAGTAACACTTCTAGAGATTCCAGTTGATCTGAGGTATGACTTGGATGTGTCTATTCAGGACAGCCCTCCCTCACCAATGAAACAGACATTTTGGTTTAACAATGAACAATTAAATGATGTCAGAACATTCTAAGTCATTTTAGTATTCACCTACCTTATTAAGGACAGTGTATTAAACTTAATTTACAATTTCTTTGATGATTCACCGTGGGGAGGCCGTGTACATCATTTCTTTAATCTTTATTTTTTGCACAGAAGTTTTATTTTTTAAAAGCTGTGTTATTTTTAATCAAGTATTCTATCACTCGATAGAGTTGTAGGTGCAAATAGAAAACATATCGAGGACTGAGTTTTGCACAGACTTATCTCAGGTTGGTTGAGATCGAGATGATTTAAGTTATGCCGCATTATTCTATGGACTCATATGCTTTCAGAGAAACTAACCTCTTGAACCCGCAGCTGTTTTAGGGTATGTAAAATATAATTATTGAATAAAGGATGTATAAAGTGTAGTCAAATACAACTTAAAAGTAACTGAGCCAAATTTGACCATGATTTTGCTGTACTCTTTAGAGCTAAAGTGCCACCTACTGGCTGGTTCATTGCACACACCCCTGGTAGTTCGAGGTAATGAATGGGAAGGACAATCTTCCAAGATACTCAGGGTAAGTCCTGCTGAGCACAGTTATTAATGTGACACTAGAGTGCCCAGTGTGCCAAGCACATGAGAGATTTTGAGATGACAAACATGTAGACAATAACCTTCTCCAACACCCACTTTCAAGTAGTTTATAGACTATAAAGGAGACAAACCAGAAGAAAAAATTGCAACATGTAACTGACACTATCGAGACTTTGACTCTGAATGCCGTGTATGTCCCAGTGGTCCATATGGCTACTTGAAAGAAGCTCTTTTTGAAAGCTTAAGGAAAGAAGCTTCTTTCAAGTGTTTCTGATGGAACGTAGTCACGCTGAAGAGCTTCTAGCAACTTTTTCTTAAAGGGTGTGCAGAATTCTGCCTTGATGAAGTCAAAATTCCTTATTTGGGTTTGAATAGCCCTCAAATAACCAATTTGTATTCAGTACATAAAGAGAAAATACAGAAAGATTACAGCTCTCTGTCTCTTTGGAAGATATGACTCTAAGAAGTAGAGCCAGCCTTGCCAGCTGGAACAATGAGGTCATAGGATGCAGGAGACAGGGGCTCAATAAAAGATGCTGACCATGCCCTTGGTTAGCTTATTTTGGAGGTCTCTCATTTTAGAAGTCGTGTGACAACAGAGGATTTTTCAAAGCGTGTCTATCCTATATCTTGACCCTATAATAACTATAATCTGAAGTCTACTTGTTCTTCCATAATTTAAGAAGAGTTATTCAGTTCTTCCTCAAAATCAAAACTTCTGCACTGTCAAATATGGCATCCATGGCTGCTTAAACTTAAATTACTTAAACTGAATTGAAATAAAAAATTCAGTTCATCAGGAACATTAGCCACATTTGAACTCATCTATAGTTACATGTGGATAGAACACGTGACCCTAGCACACTGGGTAGGGCAGACTTATGGCACATTTCTGTCAACACAGGACGATCTCCCAGGAGGCTGTGTGACCTAGACAGTTGGGTCTGGTCATGTTCCTTAAGGGAGGCAGTCTATGCTGGGGAAGCAGGGCAAGGATGGGAAGAAGCCAGCTTCCTCAACACGAGACCATGGTTCTCCTCTCGGCTCTGAAAACCTTTGCTCTTGTGTAAAGATGGCAGATTAACTGCTCTTAGCCTTCCTATCTGTAGAGCTCCCCTTCCTTTCCAGAAAACATGACAGACACTGGGTTAAGAATCTGAGACCTCAGGGTTAGTTCAGCCCCAGATTATTCTTACAGTCACATCTGCCATGTTGAATTTGTGTTGGATGTTACAACAGGCTTTTGCCTGTGCAGTCCCATTTGGTCCTCCTGCCGACTGAATCCATACAAGTGCTCAGTAAATGCGAGCTGGTCTATCATTCTAAAAACAGGCTTGCCTTTGAATGAACCCAAGTCAGGTATAAGTTAAGTACAATGGTCACTCTTGCCTCACCATGGCTTTTGAGTCACTATTCAATGAAAAAGAAACTGAGAATTAAGGGCCGCCAACTTCCTCAGGGCATTTCAGTAAATGTTAATGTTCTGAACAATGACAATTAGCAGGCCTGCTGTGTGTTAGTGATTCGAAGCTGAAACTCACATCAAGCAGCATCATTGTACTTGGGCCCTTGAGTCTAGCAGGGGAGGCTTCAGTGGTTAACTTCAATAATAGTGCGGTACCTGTCAAAGTGAGCTTTCACACCCGAGTGCTGTGTAAGCAAAGAGGGAGACATAAACGAACTATTGGGACTTCATCAAGATAAGAAGCTTCTGCACCACGAAGGAAACAATCAACAACTAAAAGGCAGCCTATGGAATGGGAGAAGATATTTGCAAATAACATATCTGATAAAGTGACATATCTGATAAAGGGTCAGTATCCAAAATAAATAAAAGCTTATAAAGCTCAACATCCCAAAAATGAGGGGCGCCTGGGTGGCTCAGTGGGTTAAAGCCTCTGCCTTCAGCTCACGTGATCCCATGGTCCTGGGATCGAGCCCCGCATCGGGCTCTCTGCTTGGCAGGGGGCCTGCTTCCTCCTCTCTCTCTGCCTGCCTCTCTGCCTACCTGTGATCTCTGTCAAATAAATAAATAAAATCTTTAAAAAAAAAAATGAGTCGGATGCTTAACATCCAAAAAATGAATAATCCAGTTAAGAAACGGGCAAAAGCCATGAATAGACATTTTTCCAAAGAAGGCATCCAGAAGGCCAACAGACACATGAGAAGATGCTCCACATCACAGATCATCAGGGAAATAGAAATCAAAACTACAATGAGGTATGACCTCACAGCTATCAGAATGGCTAAAATCAACAACACAAGAAACAACAGATGTTGTTGAGAATGTGGAGAAAGGGGAATGTGTGAGAAAGGGGAATCCTCTTGTATTGTTGGTGGGAATGCAAGCTGGTGCAGCCACTCTGGAAAATAGTTTGGAGTTTCCTCAAAAATTTAAAAATAGAGCTACCCTACCACCCACCAATTTGTGCCACTAGATATTTACCCAAAGGTACAAAAATACAAATTCAAAGGGAGACATGCACCCCCATGTTTATAGCAGCATAATCAACAATAGCCAAGCTATGGAAATAGCCTAAGTGTCCATTGACTGATAAAGGGATAAAAAGGATAGACACATAGACACACAATGGACTATTACTCCATCATAAAAAATAATGAAATCTTGCCATTTGCAATGATGTGATGGAACTAGAGAGTATAATGCTAAGTGAAGTAAGTCAGTCAGAAAAAGACAAATAGCATATAATTTCACTCATGTGGAATTTAAGAACAAAACAAATGATCATAGGGAGAAAAGAGAGAAGAGAGAGGCAAGCCAAGAAACGGACTCTTAACTACAGAGAACAAAGTCAGGGTTACCAGAGGGGAGGTGGATGGGGACTGGGATTAAAAAGGGCATTTGTGATGATCACTAAATTTTAGTGTTGAATCACTAAATTTTCAGTGGAAACTAATATACATTATATGTTACCTGGAATTTAAATAAAAAATTTGAAAATTAAAATTAAAATATTAAAAAAGAAATAGAACACTCAACTTTTAAGTGCATGTGTAGCTACCCAGCTACAAACTACATCTTAAAGATGGTTACTACAGCAAGTCTAGGTGACCAACTATCCTGGTTTGCCTGGGACTGAGAGGTCTTCAGGTGTTAAATCCAGGAAAGTCCCAAGAAAATCAGGACAGGTGGGTCCCCAGAGCCTAAACGGGGGACCATGTAAAACTCAGCCATGTAGCTGAGTTTAAGATACTGGTGCAACTGATGTGTGAAATCTTTGGGTTTGTATTCAAATAATCCTCCTTAAAAGCAAAGAGGATTTCTTTTCACCATTTCCTGGTGACTTTACAATGACAAATGCAAGAATCATCTTAGACTTAAATACGAAAGCCATGTTTTGAGGATGGTGGAGCTAACCCACCAGTCTGGGTCTCTGCATTGCCTCTGCAAAGAGAATGCTTATCTGCCTTTTGACTATTATATAAAAGAAAAATAAATGTCTGCCTTATCATGAAGCCACTGTATTCCAGGTCTCTCCACTACAGCAGCTTAGCCCCCTACTGTCATACATGACCTTATTTTGAAAATTACTTAAGATTATATAACACATTTAATGCCACAATTTCATTATTAATTGCTAGCTATTTTTCCTCAGAAATCACAAATGTTGCAGTATTTTGACTTTCCTCTTTGTACTTTTCTGCTTTTTTGCCCCTGGGCTCCTGTTTGAAATTATTGGGATACAAGAATTTTCTTGTCCTCTTAGTAAAGTGGGTATCTTGACTTAGATGTTTTAGATAAGACTTGCTGGGAAAGCTAGGAATCTGAAAATCATGGGCACGGATAGAAAGAAATGTTCTCCATATTTAGAATGTATCCACTGTTCTCGTCCAGAAATACACATACTTACAAAGCAAATTCAAAAAAAATACAAAAATGCTTGGAGAAGATACTCTGCCAAACATCTTGGTGAAACCTTACCTTCAGTCTGACTTTCAACCCAAGAGTTGATCTCCTTTCGAATTTGTCCAGAAGCTCCCACAAAATTAACAGACTGTGGTTCTGCACCAAAGTATGTTTTCATGTCTTTTAGATATCTCTGGAAGATAGAGGTAAAATCTTCTTTTGCAGAGTTTGTCCAAAACCGAGACATCAAGGCTATCAATGGATCATTGCAAACCCCCACCCCATTGCCCCCTCTGTCTTTCCATACTTCCATTTTGGTCGAAAACTAAACACTCCCCTCTTTAAAGTTAGCTGGGCACAGACCAGCCATGCAGAAGTCCAGGTGTGGAGGAAGGTCTGCCTCCCAGTTCTGGGACTCCCACACCCTCCCTATTTTTTTTTTTTTTTTTTAAGTAGGCTCTACACCCAGCGTGGAGCCCACCATGGGACTTGAACTCACAACCCTCAGACCAAGACTCGGATGCTTAACGGACTGAGTGACCCAAGCACCTCTACCCTCTCCTGTGTTTATCCATGCCTGTGAAATGAGGCTGGTATGAAAAGGAAGAGAGCTCTAGGAACCCCAGGATTGTCTCCAGTGATGAAGACCCGTTGCAGTTGCACTTTGCTTTCTCTAGCAGAGCCAGAACCAAAGTGAAGCATGTGGGTCCGGCAGCCCCCTGCTATGAACACTAAGCACCAAAAACCTGTGGAGGGCCCCCGAGGAGAGCTATAGGCTGCTCTGAAAATGGATTGCAAAGTGTGGCCAAAGGTTCAGCAGGCTGTCTGAGGGAAGAAAGCTGGCTTAGTCCTCTGGACCTTTGATGTCCCCCCTGCTGGCAGTCCTCGGAAGTGGGCTTATGAGGGCACCTGCCATACTCAGGAGCCCTGTCATACTCCTTCAGTGTATTACTTGGTAGAGGAATTGTGTTCAGCAAAAAATGCTGAGGTAATTCAGCCTCCAGGCAGTGGTTTGAAGATTAGGAAATCTAAACTATGTGGAAATTATGATCCAGTAAAAAAGGAAGGCTTAAAGTTTCACAAGGCACCATTCCCTGGGTTGACTCATAGGTTCTACTCAACCTCTCCGAGCACATCCAGGGCTTGTGGACATTATAAAAGATGTCTCATTTTGTATATCTGTGTCCTTCTCATCTCTAAGTGCCCGCCCCATTCAGATACCTCCTACTTCCAGACCAAAGCGGAATGCACAGGACTACCAGTACCAGAAATGTCTCTAAGGCCTAGTTTGGATGCTTTTCTGCCTTTAGTCATAACCAAGCCCAAGTGCTGACCTCCCTGAATTCACTGGCTATGCGCAGGGACAGCCCTGCTTGATATCACAAGATAGCTTTAGTTTTCTATTGCTGTCCCTCTACCCTACCCAAGTTCCTTGCCCTTTGCCCACTGGGCACCTAGGTCCTCCTACTCTCTTATGTGTTGAGATGTGATGCTCTAATGGGAAATTCATTGCTTGGCTTGGTTCAGGGTGGCCCACTGTGGGAAGCCCTTGAATCTGAATTGAGGACGAAAGCATGGTCTGCATTGTGGGGTCTCAACCACCTGAGAAGGGGAGAAGGTGATATTATTCCATGTCGAGAGAGTCTTTCCTAAAGTCTCTAAAGTCATGCTGTGAAATGACCCATCTGATCCCCGAGTCAGCTCTGCTCAACTACAAACTCCTAGTCCAGCCATGCTCCCAGGACCAGCTCTGCCCTCTGCTCCTGCACATCGGCCCTACTGGGTTACCCTGCATCTCCTGCCCCATTCTCCATGAAACAAATGCTAACCCGGAGATGACACAAACCACATCTCTTACCCATTCACCGGCTGAGGTGGACCCCTTTATTCTGAGCATATAGTCTGGCTTAAGACCCACTGTTGATTTCCTTTACACCTAGACACTTATTGGTGCTCTAAATGATTGTTTCACAGAAGTGCTGACCCCATACATGAACATCGTCCCTGGGATCTCTAAAGAAATGTACGAAAAGTTTCCTGATTGGTCTCACATACCTCTTTCTTTCCCATCAGCTTTAAAAGACACATTTGCACTTACACTGTGAAATGGGTAGGTTTTCTCTCCATATATCCTGTTGGCTGTTTTAAGTATGTAAGCCTTGCTGGGATTGCTGATTTCTGAGATAAGGGTCTGGAAGTGAGAGTGTATATCTTCAACCTTGCCCAAACCGAATTCCTTTAAAAGAAAAGGGATTAGTCAAACGGTCAAATAAAAACACTGAACAAGAATTAGGTCTATATGAACAACCTCTATCTCAATGAAATGAGTTGGTGTCCTGTAAACAAAAACTCAAATCAGTTGCATGGTAGACAAAAAACATTTTCTTTAATGTTAGCAGTGCAAGAATTTACAAGTTGTTAGGGTATTGTTTTCTTCACATTTAGTTTATAAAGGCAAGAACAAGCTTGAAGGCGGGGCAGCTTTGCAGTGGAAGGAAAAGATGGAAAGAGAGAGAGGGAAAGAATACGACCCTTCCAAAAAGTGTACACGTTTCTGTATTTTTCTATAGTTTGATGATATTTTTCTAAAAGAAGTTCCTTTTAATTATCAAATGCATATTAAAAATAAGACATACCATTTTTCTTTTCTTCTCACTTTCAGGACAAGGTTTGATGTCCTGATCTCTGCTAAACTGAAGAACCTGTCATTTCAATAAAAAGGAAATAGGTGAACACAATTTGCGAAGATGTAATCATCTGAAATTCTCCTCAGCAAATACAAGTCAGTCATTCCCATCACCACAGAACATATAATTAATTACCAGGGGGAGGGGGGGCTCTGATTTCACTTAAATAATGTGTTACTAAATGGATGGGGAAGTCAACAGCAGCTTTTAAATAAATTTTTAAGCTGCTGTTAAGTAGCTACTCTCTTTATTCTTATACTCTTTATAGGACATTTGAGATGATGTTGGGAAATCATTAGAGGTAAAAATCTCTTGTATTCCATGTTTTGGTTTGTTTTTACATACGGTTGTTTTGAAAACTAGGTGTTCATTTGAAAGCATCATTTAGACGATTTAAGCATAAGCCACTATTGCTTCAATTATCTAGAAAATTCAGGGATTCTAGTTGCTTATTCTAGTTAAGTGTTTCCGGTCTCATTGTCTGCCTCACTTGACAGTTATAGACACATTCTTTGTGCTCAGCCCAGCATTTCATTTGGAAGTTAACAAAAAGGAAGTGGACATGCTTGCTTCCCCTGAACTGCGCAACAGTAGAAAACAAGGTGATAATTCCATCTCCCATAGCCTGGACCCAGCTCACAATGAGGAATAAAATCTAGTTTACCAAAGCTTGTGCTGATTGACACCCAGTGACAAACAGGGATACACGAGCGACTCAGTCTCAGTCGCAAACCATCACCATTGATATGTCAGTAGCATTTAAATAAAGCAGGGACAAGAAACACACAGAAATATATTCACATGAAATGGACCCCAGTTGGAATCCATCTAAGATTGTCGATCACATTAACTGTTAAGGCTTTTAATATTTAACCAGTTATTAACCAAGGGTAAGCCAGGATTTTGTTTTCATTTTGAAATACATGATATCTTGTGAACTAAAAGAATAAGGGGGATATCCTAGGCCCAAGCTGACAGAAGATAAATTCTGCCTATTTCATGTAGAATTACTGTCTGTGCTGTTTTCTGTATTTGACTCAAAGGGCACCACCTGGAGTGGAAATTCTGTCACTTAACCTTTTGATTATTGCAAGATTTAGGGCTGGATTTCCTCTTTTCTATTTCTATCTTAAAACACACACACATATATTTGTATATTTGCACACAAACACACATATACACATGACTTTTTAAACTATAATTTTGCTATCTATGGCTCTACTTGTGAAATGCATGCATGTGTCTATACATGCAGGCACAATGCTTTGAAGATATTTACAGCAAATCAATAATTGCTTAAACAATACTATTGCTTTGTTATTTTCATGCTCTCAGTGGGTTCTTTACATTCATGCAGACAACCAGGGATTGGACATAGAAACAACCAAACAAAGCACAAAGAACTGGATTCATTTGATTTTTCTATCTGCGTCTTCAAGAAAATCCTTCTGAGATTGGAAAGATGATGACTAATTCTATTATTTAAAGTATGAGCCATTCAAAAATGGTATGATACCACTCATATGTGGAATTTAAGAAGCAAAACAAGTGAACAAAGACAAAAGAGACAAAGGAAAAACCAGACTTGACTAGAGAGAACAAAGAGAGGGTTTCCAGAGGGGAAGTGGTAGGGGGATGGGGGAAATAGATGAAGGGGATTAAGAGCTCGCTTGTCCTGATGAGCACTGAGTAAAGTACAGAACTGGTGAATCACCATAGTGTACACCTGAAACTAATATAATATCGTATGTTAACTTCACTGAAATTAAAATTTAAAAATAAAATAAAGTATGGGCCATTACTTCCTGAAATATACCGATATTCAAAATAAAATTGGTTTTGGTGCTGAACCAAACTTGATAACTTTATTGTCTCTCCGCTTGATCTTGCTAGGGAACATGGGCTCTTACATGGTTTTTTAAGCAGCAATTTTCTTTCTTTTTTTTTTTTAAAGATTTTATTTATTTATTTGACAGACAGAGATCACAAGCAGGCAGAGAGGCAGGCAGAGAGAGAAAGGGGGAAGCAGGCTCCCTGCTGAGCCGAGAGTCCAATGCAGGGCTCCATCCCAGGATGCTAAGATCATGAACTGAGCCAAAAGCAGAGGCTTAACCCACTGAGCCACCCAGGTGCCCCTTAAGCAGCAATTTTCTAGTTGGTTCTCTTCCCCAGAATTCTTTTTATGGCCTAAAACAATGTTGAAGTATATCTTTTGTCTTGTAGGATATGGCTGTAAAATGTAAGCTATGTGGACTTTAGGAAGCAAATGATGGTAACAGTTAAAAAGAAGGCTCTGTTTTAAGGCTGCAGAGGATGCTTGACCTCTCCTGCTTACCTGGGCCATCTGCGCTGCCGTGGTACCTCCAGTGCCCAAATACACCATGGCCAACGAGGTCGAGATGCCCCAGGGAGAAAAGAAAATATTTTTGCCCTCAGCCGATTCAGCCAGCTTTTTGCTGAAGTCCAGGGCAAATTGGTTGATTGATTTGGCTAGAGAGTCCATTGGGAAAACCTAAGAAAAATAAAGCAGAGATGGAAAACTTGTTAATAATCCTTTCTACTTATTTCACTTTTGGCTGACACAACTATCTTCTTTAATCACCCCTTCTTGAAGTGACAAAAATATATATTATCTAATCCAAATTTATATCATATATGTAGTGTATACATTTCCATCCATTTTATATGCATCTATTTCCATTCATCCTTATATGTGTACCTATTCATAACAGCCGAAAGGACTGTGGAAAATCCCTTACGAATATTAGTAGTTTACATATTAGAAAACAGAAGTCTAGAGAGTTTGAGGGAATGCTCAAATTGTAGTGCAAAGGCGCACGCAGCAGAGGACAATTGGGTGCTGGTCAGTTGGCAGCTCCCTGTCGAGAAAACCATAATAAAAACGGTGCCATCAGCCCTGTGCTGCTTCTCAATGCACCACATGACTGCTGACCTTACACAGTAAATAAGAAATTGCTAGTCATTTTTTTCAAGAAACTTTATGGTTTTTCTCACTTATCGCCAATATTTTTATACTTTTTAACCTTATCTGTTCATTCTTTTTTTAAGATTTTATTTATTTATTTATTTATTTGACAGAGAGCGAGACAGAGAGAGAGAGGGTACACAAGCAGGGGGAGTGGGAGAGGGAGAAGCAGGCTTCCCGCTGAGCAGGGAGTCTGATGTGGACCTCCACCCCAGGACCCCAGGATCTTGACCTGAGCCGAAGGCAGCCACTTAACGACAGCCACCAGGCACCCTTATCTGTTCATTCTTGCCTTTATCTATGATATTCTTCATTCCTAGAATTTTTTTTTTCCTAGAATGTTTTGATCCTTCTTTACTTTATTGAAATCCAGTTCTGTTCCAGTTTCTTTCTTTCTTAAGAAACTTTTCCTGATCTCTCGTGTGCAGAGGAGTTAAGTCCCACAACAGCACTTTTGCCCCTTATTGGTAGTTCTGTCTTCATACGCTTGTAGCTTTCCAACTCCAGGGTAAGTTCCTTAAGAGTAAAATTTTCTGTATCTCCAACAACACCTCGCTCAGGACTTTACACAAAATGGATGTTTATAAATATTTATTACTTCTTTACAATGTTCATTATTTGGGCTCCAGCCACCATTGTCTATTCACTTAAACCTGAAACCATACACAATTTAGTGGGAAATGCTCATAGAGAAGTAGGTAAGTCAAGGCTCTTTGCCCTTATTCTCCCTCACTTGGGACCCTCTGAAAATGATCTTGAACAAAAATAACTCAGTTTTACTCATTAAAAAAAAATTATATTCAACCTCTAAATTTCACCCCTAATTACCCAACATTTCCAGTGTTTTAAGACTTGGGTTCTATCAAAGAAACAACTACTTCAATCTGATGTCATTTTATAGCCAAATAATCTCTCAAACTGGTTAAGTGATTAAAAATAAGTCAACTTCCTAGACCTAGAATTTCCCATTAGTGCCAATGTTGTGTAGAACTTCAACTTATACTGGCATCACCTGGCCCTCAGGACCTTAGAAGGGTCAAGAGTCTCTGAATCAAGGGAGAGGCATAGGTAGGCCAAGTTTTGGTTTCATCATAAACTGGATTAACAGTGATCCTGCTGAAATCCCTCCTAACCATAAGCTTACATTTAGTCAAAGAACTTCCCCCTCTAAGTCCTGCTTCAGTTCTAGCCCATGTCTATTGCTGAAGGTGATGAAATTTCTAGGCTAATATCACTTGACTAAAGAAAAACAACTCTAGTTTTGTAATAAGTCTACACCTCACAAAATGTTCAAAACTTACCAGTATGTAGTTTTTCTTGATAGATCCAGGGCCATCTTGGAAATAACCTCCTTAATCTCTTTACAGCTGTATTCATTCAAATGATGCTTTGTTTACCACATATATATTAAGCTTTATCTCTTTAGAATTCATGAAATACATTCATATGGAAAACGTTTGTCTCCTTAAAACTATACTAACCATGAAGGGAGGAGAAAATAATATCTTAGGGCCTGAGATTTTTATCTTTCTACCTAAAGTTTATGGTTATTCTAGAGTTTAACTACTTGTAACAAATTCCTGAAAACAATAATTTTATTTAATGAAAGACTTAATTATTAGTGGAAGTTAATATCCAGTTATCTTCAGCTTCATTAATTCTCTTGTTAATATCATAATTAATACATGAGGTATTGCCCAAACATAAAAGAACAATTCCTGCCTTTTTTTTTTTTTTACAAAAAATTTATAGAAGTGTTAAGCCATTGGTAAAATTTAACCCAAGAGTGAAAAGTGCTCTCTGAAGGATGCAGAATTTTAGGATGATGTTTTACAGGAAATAATTTATCCATACAAAGGTTAGACAATGATTTTTTTCAGAGAAGATTAAAAATGTCTAGATCGGAAGACTACTATGCCATTTTCAGAATAAATTATTCTTTGCAGTTTTCAGAAGTTTTAGATGTGTCAGTTTAGATCTTTATCTATATATATAAAAATATATACATGGTTTAATATATACAAATATATACACGTAAAATATGTACAAAGCCCTCTCAAGGGCTTAGGGGAAAAACTGAAGAACTATGGAAGTAATAAAAGGATAGTGTCATTCATCAAAATGTTGAATCATAGATACCCATAGTCCCAAAGAAACTTGGAGTCCCCTCTAGTACAATTGCCTTGTTTTATCTACTAGGAAACTAAGGTCCAGAAAATTTAAATGTGCTGTCCAATGTGCACAGACAGCTAAGAGTGAAGTTATCACTGTAATCCCATTCTCTGGACTGTGAATACAATCTCCTTTGTCATTGTATCTCATTGCCTTCAAGATTTTAATAGAAAAAAGGAGGGATTGGGGGAGGAAGAAAGGTGAACAGGAGGAGGAAGAAAGGAGGGAAGATGGTATAGAGGATGAGGAAGTGGGAAAGATTCTCACTTCATTTTCTACAAAAGGATACCCAAAGCTCCTTGACTTTTGATGATACTAATGATAGTGCCTACTTCTTGGAGCTATGCTTACCAGAGGATGACATCTCCCCTTAGCACTTCTATCTCTACCCAAAGCCATATTCTGAGGGAAGCAATAATTTGGGATGTTTTACAATGAGCATATAGTAGAAGGTTGAGGCTTAGGCTATTCCATGGAAGAGAAGAAAGCTAACAGCCCATGGAGTGGTGGCCTGGATGGGATGTTAGGTGGAGATAGGGAAAGAGAGCCAAACCATTAATTCCATGCATTAATGATGTGGATCAAATTCATATCACCAAGCTTGCTCTTCCAAAGGGTTAGAAGGGGTTGGCCTCAATTATTCTGAGAATTCTCTATTTCTCTTTGCCTATGTTGACCGATACAGAGGTGGTCAATCTAGAGAAGTGACTGGAGGAGATTCCATTCACGGTTTCAGAGTTTCTGGTAAAACCATTTCTCTAACTCCTTTTAAATAAATGCTGTCTCTCCCTCTTTGCCCTCTTTCCCACACAAGCTTTGAATGAGCTCGGGGTTAAATCTGTCTGATTTGTACAGAATTCTTGGGGAGATGAAGCTTTACCTATTATTTCTGTTTTTGAGAGTTCTTGACCATTTGTTACTCTGCTAGACATTTCAATATAGAAAGAAAACATAAACATTTTTTAACAAAGAAATGTTTACAATACCTTGTTTTCTTCTGCTGGAGCAGAATTGGCAACTGGTTCCTTTAATAAGAGATTGTGGTGAGTTAAGTAACTTTTAACTGTAGAAATCATCTTTAAAAATTCTAGCACCTCCCTTTTCTTGGCCCCACCCTCTGATTCACTTTTACAAGCCCATACACTTTTCCTTTCAAGTTTATCTTGGCCGAGAGCTCAAATAAAAAGACAGAGATCCACAATGAATGTTTTGCCTGGATGACTGACTTACCTACACTTGCCATGTCTGTCTGCAGGTAGAAACCTGAGCTCTGACAAATTGTAACTCACCCTTTCCTTGTTTACTCTCTTCTCTAGTCTGCCAACTGGCAGCAATTCTAGTAGTTTTCCCAGTAGTCTTTCTTAAAAAAAAAAAAAAGAAAGAAAGAAAGAAAGCTCTTAATTAGCAGAAATATAATGGGTAGTAAAATGGAAAATATTGAGGGTGAAATATTTGCTGTTACATTGTTAAAGCCGCTTTTAAGGTGCCATGTACTAGAGGCATCCAACAAATGTTGGTCCTCTTCTCCCTTGATGGGTTGATGTGGAACCCAAGGAACAACTCTATCCAGTCCCATGTCATGTCCATTTTCCCACCTCCAGGGACAAGGGGTCTGGACCAATGTTTTAGACACAGTTGCTGAGTTAGATGTTGGTTCATCACTTTTTAGTTTTCTTTTATTTCTCCCTATGAATATTCCCTCCCTCTTCCAGATATCTTCTATAGGAAAAACCATAGTTACTGTTTTATTTTCTACTGCTGAATACCTGTGCTTGGTGGGGTGCTGAGGGGAGGGGGGAGAGGGATGGAATTGAGAACCTTCCAGAGGGATTGAGGGAGAGAAGGAGCCTCTCTACTTATAACAGATTTGGAATGTTCTTCATGCACTTTGCATTTTTCTCTTCATGGGACACACTTGTCTCCTGATAAACTGGCTCAGAGTTTAACATTTGAAGGTTAGTGGGGAACCCAGAGCAGAATGTTTCTCTGGACTTCACTAGGGGATGGGACTTGTGTAAGAAGTTTATTGCACCTGCCTGACATGTGCTGAGCACATAGTAGTAGTAGTACCTACTGGTACCTCCAGACTGTTATTAGCAGAAAGTCTCACATGGAGGCTGGATATAGAGGGACTGTTCATCCTGACTGACAGCAGTTCAGCAGAGAGTGACTTGGGCAATATCAATGCACAGCACGGAGACTTTCGTTATTTATGTCGCATTAAATGCATCAATGCAAAAACTACCAAACCAGCCAAGAAATTGTTTCATCTTCTCTAAAGTCACAAACTAAGTTTTACTCATTGGTTTCCTCTGAGCCTTCTCCAGATTCCTTTCCCACTTATCTCTTGGTTAAATTTTTATAGATATACTACCCATGTTGATGAAATCATCGTTGTGCATTATTATGATGCCTGTTTGGGGGTGGACAGGGAAAGAAAAAGAGGTAATAGTATCCTAAATTAACAACATAATATTATCAACACAGTTTTGTTTGTTGCTATCATTTATGGCCTGCCCTATGTGTATGTATATGTATATGTATATGTATATGTATAATATGTACAAATTACTAATAGAGCTATAGGGATAGGAACTATATGAATGGGGAAGAGGGGTGGGAGGGATAGATTTTGCTCTGGCCTTTTTATGAATTCATTAGGTATCCCAAAATTTTCAAGACAGAGAGAACTCTAGATGCATCAATATTATTCTAATAAGAATCCAGAAGAAGAGCATAAATTGAGTGGGCAGAGACTATGAGTAGATAATGGTAACCCTATTCCATTTGGGTTGCTGTAAGAGAATACCAAAGACTGGATGATTTAAACAACAAACTGTTGTTTTGTTTTTGTTTTTGTTTTTGTTTTTTTCACAGTCTTAGAGGCTAGAAATCTGAGATCAGGGTGCCAGACTGGTTGGGTTTGGGGTGAGGACTCACTCTGTTCTTGGTTCACAGTAAGCTGCCTACTCTCTTGTGTTCATATGGTAGAGAGAGGAAGCTCTGATTCCTTCATCTCCTCCTAAGGGCACGAATTATATCATGAAGACTCCACCCTCATGACTTAATCCAACCCTAACCATTTCCCAAAAGCCCCATTTCCAAATACCATCCCATTAGAAATTAGGGCTTTCACATATGTACGGGGGAGAGGAGACACAAACATTCAGTCCATAGCAATGGCTGAGAGTTTCCCAAAACTGAAGCAAAGATACAAGTTTCCAGATGGAAAAACATCTGCTGATGAGCAAGACAAAATTCAAGAACAATTTTTAAAAATAGGGGCACCTGGGTGGCTCAGTGGGTTAAAGCCTCTGTCTTCAGCTCAGGTTATGATCTCAGGGTCCTGGGATCAAGCCCCGCCTTGGGCTCTCTGCACAGTGGGGAGCCTGCTTCCCTTCCTCTCTCTCTCTCTGCCTGCCTCTCTGCCTATTTGTGATCTTTGTCCGTCAAATAAATAAATAAAATCTTTTTTAAAAAAAGAACAATTTTTAAAAATAGTCTCAATGCAAGGAAATATCAAGAACATCATTAAGAACACAAAGAAAATTATGAAAACTACAAGGAGAAAGAATTATCTTGACATCAACTTTCCCATCAGCAATTTTGGTGCTGGAAGACCATAAAATCTTACCCCTGAAGTTTTGAAGCGTGCTTTGAACCTTGAATTCCATGCCCATCCTCTAACTCAAAAGTGAGAGTGAGAAATATGGATATCTAAAGAATCACAATGATTCCGAATGCTGCTACTTATCGAATTGCTGAATAACTGAAGTTCATAGAAAACTGAATCTAAACATAAGAGAAGCAAGAATTCTTAATTTTCAAAAATGTCTGGTGTCGAGGGAACAAACCACAATTCAGGCCTTACACACTTATTTTTTTTATAATTTTCTGGGATTCTACATTTGACCAGCTGACAGTTTTATTTCTGACAGAGATAATCAACATCAGCGCTAGTACTTATTAAACTCTATATATGCTCAACATTCTTTGAATTGCTTGTGATGTATGAATTCATTTAACCATCATGGCAACCTTATGAGAAAAACATTACTTTTTCTAGGTTGAAAACCAAAACATAAAGAAGCACCATTCGGCCTATGGTTAGAGGACTCATGAGGGCTAAAACTGAGATGTAGGGGCTGACAGTCAAGGGCCTGAGGTTACCCATTTAGCTGCCATGTTCCAGTGGGTCATCCATCCCTGCCTTCCATGACGGGAAGTCTGCTGCTGGGAGACATTCTCAGAGTCTGGCCACACTCCTGCAGACAGACTCTGTAGCCAGCTTGGACTCCCCAAACCAGACCCGCCTCAGTTCTCAGGACTTAGTCACGTTCTGCTCTGTCTCTGATCCACTCAAGGCATTCAGCACTATTTGAAGCAAACACCCCCGAAAGAAGGCATTTGTGTTTCCTCTCTCACTCTTACACCCAAGGCCATCTTCCCCTCTCTGAGCCCTCAGCTCAATGACCTTGGCCTTGTCTGAACCACTGCACATAGTGTTTATTCTTGATATCCTTGAGGTTTAACCAAGAGGATCCCCAAAGGTCTTTGACTCAAGCTTTTCCAAATTCCTATGCCCTTTGCTGCTAGGAGATCACAGCTCTAAACCATTTTCCACACAACCCCATTCCAGTCCCAACACTGGGGCTCCCTGAAGAGGCAGTTAACCTTTTATCTCCTTTATTCTGTTTTTTCTCGGTCCCCACAAAATGAAGCACAATGCCTGATCCTTAGGAATCAAGGTATGACAAATCTTACGAGCTAATGCAAGGACCACCTTGCATTATGACCAAATGGAATGACAACAAACAAATGGTTGTGTGGAAACGTGTTTATTTTTTTCATATACTTGCAATTTTACATAAGTCGTAGACACATCTATGTGATACATAATACTAGAAATGTACGTAACATATATTTTCCTGTTGTTCAATACTTTCTTCTAGTTATTTATTATAAGAGGGCATGGAAAGGACAACCACTCATCCCTCATTATACAAACAAGTAAATGCATTTTTTAGATAGAAAAATTACTGACCACCTGCTTCTGCAACTATCAGCTGCATAAAACTGACAGTGAACAATAATTAAAACCATTATATAAAATAATAAATAATATAGTAAAAGTTAATGTTATACAATTAACCAATAGTAAGGAAGACCTAAGTGGGGCATCATCCCGCTTAGGAGACCAAATGATTAACAGACTTGCAATGTTATGGTGGACAGCTGTCTACTTATTGCTGTACTTATCATTAGTGTCTAGTAGGAGTTGTTCAGAAAAAAGCAGAAATGTGTAGGAAAAGTCTCTAAATTCTTGGCACTTAACGCAATTCGGAGGCTTACAGCTCATACTATGAAATCCTATGTAGAAACAGAACTTTTCAATTTTCGGGTGAAACAAACCTGCCAAAAAAGAGGATGTTCTTGGTGACTTTGTGCATGATAAAGAAGAGGAAAGGGTGGTCCGCCACGAACTGTGGGCCTCCGTGGCCAGTTCTTCCTGACACAATGGCCCCGGTGCCAGCAGCTGCTTCTGTGCCCTCTTCGTTCACGTCCACAGTAGCTTGATGGAACACTTGGGACAGAAACAGGTCATTGTTGTCAGACATTCCTGAGAAGTTGGCCCGGCTCTGGCTGAAGGCTTCCTCCATGCCCATGCTCTGGAGAATGGATCTGAGTTCATAGCGTTCTTCTAATTTGAACTGAGGGAGGTATACCTCCACATCATCTTCGGCCAGCTTGTCTTTGCTGGTCCAGTTGATGAATTTATCGTAGGTTAATTCATCTTCCAGCTACAAATCCAAACATTAAAGAAAAAACCCCTTAAGTGCTCAGAATAGAAGGCAAATAACTAACAAGTCTCATGTTAACAATCAATGACTTTAACTTTACCACGTTGTGGGTGATAGAAAAATGTAATACACTGGTGAAATATTTGCAAGAAAGTAGCATGTATGACATATTTTCATGCTCTGATTGAAAGTTTGAGACATGAACATTTATAATCAACCAATTCACATGTTTCTGCGAGGAGCTACACACCATTTTCTACACCTATAGACATGCTTCTCATGAAAAG